ACAAAAACAGCAGTTTTTCTGCTTGGAACTTGAGTCTGAGTAGCTTTACTTTCGTTGTTCGTTTATTTGTTTTACAATCTCGAGTATATAGGCCGTATGTATCACACTTTTATTCGATTTATATGGGCGCGATTATAGTTGAGAAATTAATGTTATTTAGAGACACTTACATCGCAGCGGCTGGACGCAATTTTCGGGTTAAAACATCATACAGTGACTCGAACGAGATTTTAGTCCAAGGCCCAGCTCGAACAAAGTATAGAAATCAATTTTGGAATGTGTCTCCAATTCCGAAGGTCATTCCGATGGACAAATTAATTTTGTATAAGGCACGAATCAAGTCATCGAAATTTGCAGAAATTATACTGAAAACCACTGAGGATTCTCCAAGTGAGGTAATGTGGCGATTTTTCGCCCAAATTGACATTACTTCCCGTTCATTCATTCGAAATTGTATCTTGAAACTCATGGACCATTTCTCGCATACAAATGTCTCCAGTACTGTATACAGACTACACCGGAGTTTCTCACAAACGTCAGAACAACGTCAGCCTATATACACTCGAGTAGATAACGATACAATTCGTTAGTAAGCAACGCCCCACACAACGAACAACGCGGATAGCGTTTCTTCTGCGAGGCACCAGCGTACTTTTGTACTGCGGCATTTTTAATCACACCAGGACGAGTAGAAAATTTGTGCCACACAGTTTCTCACATGGTTTGTGTGTACTTCCCCTCGTCCGATATGGTTAAACGACAGCACTAAATACCGTGAAACAAGCAGACATCTTTCAGCAGCAGTCAATGCAGTTCGTCCTGCTTTGCCTTCGTTCACATTCCACCGCGTGACAGACGGTCTTACCAGCTACATTCCACAACATAATACACAAAGATGGTGCAAAGAGCTTTGTAAATGCAGTACTGAATTGCATTTGTTCTTCTTTAAAAAAAAGGCCCCTTTAATCACGCATCCTCCGGAAGCATAGATAGGGCTTCAAGAGAACTGGAATTGGAGAGATACCCATGGAGCGTTCAGGCGTCACTTGAACCTTATTCAACAGCAAATTTTCACTGCGCCATATCCCGCTCAATGGAGCAGTCGCTATGCGTGACGTTTTCCCATCACGGATGACAGGAACGGTGGCATGATTTACCAATTTAAAAAAGAAAGAGAGAGAGAGAGCTAAATCATGAAACCTTTTTAGGGAATCTCACGAGAAGCGAGAATTCGAACCTGCACGTCTCGGGGAAAAAAAGAAGACGAAAAAAAAATCATTTTTGGATGTCTTCAGCGACCAAGGCCAGCGATGTGAACACCAGGTGCTCGCAGATCATACGGTTCGGTTCCAAAAATTGTTCGAGTTTCTTCTGGGTCACGAAGAAGCACAGCTGCACGGATTGAAAAATTCAGCGAGTCGCATATAGAGGGGAAACGGAATGAAACACGTGTTCGGAAAACCCAACAAAGCAGTATGACTGGCCGGGTTCTATCCATGTGTCTCTCATCAGTTGGGCAATACCGAATTACGCAAGACGACTATTCCTCGTTTCTTCACCAGGATACCATAATTTACTTTTCCCTCTTACCGGCCCCTCGGTTAAAATTATGAATCGCGTGCTACGTTCGACAAATCTAATGCAGCATTTTTCCCACAACAACGCAATGATGCAAAATTTGACTGGAGAAAACCACATCAACGGTTTTTAAATTGGCCAAATACAGGCTAAGTCGTTGCTAGAAGGATGACGCAATGTGATTTCGGAAACGGGATTTTTTTTTTCAATCTTTACATGACTTGGGCAAAAAGAATGACTAGACATCGATTAATTTAATTAATTTTCAATTCGTGAGGGATAATGAAAGTGGGCGAGGAAAGAAAGGCAGATTAATATCATGGGGAAAGAGACGAGACGAATTTTATTTTTGGATCTTTCCAGTATGCTACGAGGGCTGGCCCGGAAACATAAGTAAATCTCATTTGAACTTCGATAAAACGTGCATTCAATTAACCAAATTCAAGTTGTAATTCACCGAGAGACGGCAAAACGGACCATACTACTACAGTATAAGCTTAACGTGTAACACTTCGAATCCCTTTGGTCGACCAATTAGCTGGTCCCATAAGATCCTGGAAATGTCGGTAATATCACCTGGTAAATGAACTTAATTCATGTTTTACCAGTTGAATAAAATGCTTCACAATCATCCGTGATAAGCGACTATCCCTGATAAGAACCCAGTCAGTATAATGGGTAATAAGAGTGCTTCTGCAATGAACTACACTCACACGCAATTCAGAACAATCACGCATAAAAAGTTTATTCCAGTCATCGTACTCATTACAAGGAACTAATGCCTAAATCAGTCTAATGACGTTGTACGCCATTCCAGGTAATTTTAATTATTCCCAGAACGCGCATCGGATGAAATCGACAAAACGGAAGATGTTGAGTAAAAACTGTTCGGCGGAAGCAACAGCTCTAGTGCTGACTGTTACAACCACTATTTCTCTGTGCATTTTTCGACGTGAAGTGCGTTTCTGTTGTCAGAATATAGAACGAGCCTGTACAAAACGGTTTGGACGAATTCTCTTCTCCGGTTTTCGGATTCCAGCGCTCCTGTGTGAGCAGACAAGAATGCAAGGGAACATTCTAGAGGGTTGTTGGAGGCGAGCGAAACGCATCCAAAACATTGTCACTTTCGTTTTACTGCGTATGTCCCCGCCGCTGAACTTTTTAGCACATCACGCGGCGCTTCGATTTTAAAGTTTTCTTTGTGTTTATCGTAGATGAGCACGACACCGAAAGGTTGAGGGGGGAGAGGGGGGGGGGAGAGAGAAACGCGATTCGCATAATTTCGACGAAAGAAGTGGCATTCGAGGAAGAAAACCGAGTATCGACGAACGACAGCACCGCCATTCTGGGCCTGTGCCCAGGGATTTTTCAAAATGGTGAAATTTCGAATCCTTTTTATAGAACGCATTTACTGAAGTTTTTTCCTGAATAATACAGTTCGATCCGTAACAAATTACTGCATGTGTAGGGAAGAAAGAGGCGAAAAATGTTCCTTCCGAGGATTCACTGTTCTTCAGCGGATACTGTATACGAGTATGGGCCACGACCAGTGACGATTACAGCACCATGATTTAAGAAATTATTTTAGAGAATATGTAGCTAAATCTTATACGGCGCAATAAAGAGATTTGGGAAGAAAATCTTCGTTTACAGCAGTACAACATTTCAATTCTTTTCAATCAATATGGATCGTTTGGAGTTAGGTAATGCGGAACGAGGATATTATGTTCTGCACACACGTTTTCGGTTTTTTTTTGAGGATCAGTGCAACCTATGATCGCATGAATACAGTACTATATAATCAGAAAGGGGATTAATACAGGATGTACGCCATGTTTAAATACTTCTATATCTTCGACTATAAAATGCAAAGATGTTTTTTGGCTAACTGCCGTTTCGCGAAGGTGTGAAACGCGATTGGAACATTTTAACACAAGTAATACGTGGATGGTCACTTAAATTGTGCATGGAAAAGAAGTGGGATTGTTTTGTTTTCGCGGAAAAACTAGAAATAAATCACTGAGAGTACCCTGTTTCAACCAAGAAAGCGGTCCTGATGAATGGAGGGGAAATCCATGAGGATTGGCTGAATCACGACTTGGGAGGCGCATTTTCAAACGAGGGTTCTTCCAGGGCCTCGATAATAACAGGCCTTTTTCAACATGCTCAAGGACTACAGAATATTGGGAAACGCGGACTGAACTTCGAAGGCTCGTGGATTGATCTCGACGAGAGAATGTAATAACGCAATCTCCATTCTTCAGGCAATGTCGTCAGTGGATCATTGAGCAACTATGCGAGTGTGAATAACACTACCACGCTGAGGAATATTCGCGACGTAGCTGAGAAGCATGTGTGAAAAATCCCCAAGAATAGAAAATGAAAAAAAATGTTGCGCACAAGACTTATTTTAACACTTTCTGATGATTTTCAAGAGATAAATGACGAAAATCTTTGCCTGAAGCACACCGTGATTGATAACCACTCAACTACACATCAAAAATTCTTTACGCAACTTTTTCCGAGGATACGTTAAAGATGAACCATACAAATCCAGGCTTGCTCAATAAATAAGCAATATTTTATGTAATCACCATGTTCGCTGATCTTGAGAAAATTACGTGTCTTCCGCTCAACAATGTTCCCGATATTTTACCTTGCAATAAACGAAATCTACCTGGAAGATAACTGGATAAATTACATTTTCTTTCCGCCACGTATCTACAAGCTGAGAAAAATCCCAAAAGAAAAACTCGTGAAGCAACTTGCGTTTAAACCGCTTATAGACAACGTCAGATAATTGAATTCCAAAATATCTCTTTTTACTCTTTTTTCCAAAATATCAAAGAAAAACTAAACAAAAATCTGAATGTCTGGATTGCTGCACAGAAATATTTCTGTTTTCGCTGCCGCTTATAGAAAAAAAAAACGTTTAAGCTTCAGTCACATTATCAGCAAAACAGCAATACTATGTTCACTATACGCAGCTACATGAAAGAAATGCACTTGCGTTAAAAATAGAAAATGTTTGTCAAAATTCGGCCGATACGTCGACAAAATTTCGGTTAATATTCCGTCTCGTGGAGAAAACAAGATATAGACCATAATTTTTCGGCTTTGATTACATTTGAAGATTGCTGTCGATGGTATATTATTTCGAGGAAAACCCGTGTCGAGTTTTTCAGATTCATTTATTGAAATTAGGCCTATTACCGATTGCTGTTTATACTTCACAGATTATTTTCAAAAATTGCGACGTTCGTTCTGTTCCTTCCAGGATTTCCTTTTCTGAACTAGTTCCAGTTCACTTTTCCTCATGAATTTTTCCGAAAAAATGTGCTTATAATCCCGAATGGAAGACCCAAAAGCCCCATTATTGCGTAGCATCGGGCCGTGTCGCTTATCGCATTTGTAAACATCACGCGGCCCGATGGGAAAAATGGAGACACCCTCAAGAAACTCGAAGTCACCGCGATGTCGATATGAAGGCAAAGAAAAACGCTACTCACTTTGAGATCTCGATGCACGACACCATTACAATGGCAGTGATGAACGCCTTCCAGGATTTGCTGAATGCAATGCGAAGCGTCTGCCTCGCTGTAAAATTCTCGGGCGACGATGTCTTCGAAAAGCTCACCCCCGGTTACTCTGCAAGGAATTGAAAGAAAACGCAGGACGCGGTATTGAGTACTGGAATCGCGTGTTAAACTATACAATGCGGAATACTTACAAGTCGAAGACGAGGTAGTGAAAATTCTCCTCTTGAATGCTGTCGTGTAACCGAACTAGAAATAGCAAAACTGATCAGCATCAATGATCAAATACTGAAGCTTGCGCAAATAATTAGCTCGCGGGAAATATAAATCTTTCAGCAAATTTGGAAAAAAATGCTCACCTATATTGGGATGCTGCAGTTTGCGGCAAATCCGCGCCTCTCGCTCCAGCTTCTGGAAATCTGAGGAAACCGATCCTGATCAATACACTCAGCCTTTATAATTTAGCGAAAAGTCAAGTACTGGAACACGCACCTCGGGCTGAAAGTTTTTTGGTGTTTATAATCTTGGCCGCGAATTCTAGGCCAGTCGACCGCTGAACACATCTTTTAACGACTGAGAAAGCACCTCTGAAAATTCGGAATGCAGCAATTTTTCAGCAAGCTGAACACTGACTCGTCAATCGAAATGTGATTCGACCAATGACGATGCGATGGATCGCTGATATGGAACAGGTACTCACTTTCCCAATTCTTCTTTCAGTTCATAGTTATCACTGAACTTCGTCGACGTATTGAAGACCGACATGACGACAGCGTAACGGCTTCACAAGCCGTAGAGCGTAAGGGTGCGCCTTGCGGGCGCACTCACAGCGTCAGTTCACCAAGTCACTCGAAACTTCGTTGAGAATTCCAGGTAGACCACCGCACTGCCGACGACGACACGTCACCGGTTGGAACCGATCCGTGAAGTGAACCGTGTCAGTGCTATCTATTTAGCTTCGGAATAACCGGTTGCCGGTCAAGACACCACGGTAGTCACAGCGACTTGGCCCTCAACTCGGCAACGCAACACTGCTAGTACGCGACCCGGTGCCCACGAATTTACACAACCGGCGTTGGGGAACCGCGCGTCTCTCCCCCCGCTTTCTCTGCGCAGGCTCGTCGCCATCTGCTGACGTACAATGGTTCGCAGTCTGTCATGCGCCTCACTTCCAGCTGATACACGCGACACCTGTATTCTCAGAGTGTAACGTCGCGTGAAGGAAAGTTTTCTCGACGCCAGATGATGACTTCTGTCTTTTCAAGAATCTTGCACAAATTCGGAAGCCACGAGTCCGGCCTGCGACGGCAAGTGATAGTCATTGCAGTCATTCGGGTTTCTCGCGTGAAATTCGCTGCAGAAGCCCTTCAAAATACCTCAGTTAGTATCAAAAACCGAACAGTGGTTGTTAATAGTGGTTTACTTGTGAAAACTTAAATTATTCCCTTGCTAGGTTACGTCGATCATGAATTCATGATACAGAAGCATGGCAGCATTGCATAGTCGGAATAGCGGCAGTTTTTCACAGAAAATATATGAAAGTATAGCTGGAAAAATTTTATATAGCAGACGAAGAAATAAAATAATTCAAGTTGAGAATGTACTACGGAAAACTTGTCGAGTCGCAAGAAAGAGTGCCAATTTCTGCAAGGGAATAATTTATCTTTCACGCACACTAATCACATCGATGAGATCGGTATTTATGAGTCATTTTTCATGCTGTTCAGTGTAGAGGAATGTTCATTTCCCAGTAAACGATTAGAAATAAACAACAAATTTTGCCTTGTACTGATTCCCTGTCGGCGACGGTCGGTCGGTGAATATAGGCTTATCTGTATCACGAATCCGAAAAACGTACATTTTTGAGGAACGTCATTTTTTGTGTGAAGAGTATGTGTATTTACCTGCCACGATCGGGTCTAAGAAGGCTTTGTCTGAAACCCTGGGAGTGCTCTATAAGCCCCTACTTATCTGAAATGCTGTAGAAATCTAATTCTCAGAAGTTTCCAGTGGGTATTTCCAGCTCTCATTTTTCTTAGTTCACATGGTTCAGCTGTGAATTTGTGACGCAATTCGTCGCGTTTCGTTTCTTACTCACCGTGAAAAAATGGCATGCAAAGCGAGACTTTCTCCTGCTATAGTACGAAAGCATTGTCGGAACTGGCGGGTTACATGAAAATAAATGACGCAATTCGTTGACGTCATACTTGTACTTGAGCTTTATTTCTCGCTCAAAATACAACGTTTGCACTACGAACGAAATTTAAGCTTTGTTGCGCGGAGAACCAAAAAATAAACACATCCGACGATGAATACACATTCACTTCGCCAAGATCATAAAATCTGCTGTTTCTGCACATATGGAACAGTTTACCTGAAATGGCTGACTGGTCGTGTTCCCTTGGACACATCCGGAGAAAGACTGCGCTTGGATTTTACGCAGGGAATCACAGTTCCGCGTTCGAAAAATACTCACACGTAGTTATGAATAATAATAAAAAACAACTTCTTGCTGTTACATCCTGCAGCCAGGTTGTCAAATACTTTCGCTCCACCTCAGAAGGCGTCTTTGATATTCCGAAGCTGCTGTATAGCGAAGTCCACGGGAAGATCAAAGTCATAGCCTTGCAGCTTTTCCATGGCCCGCAGAGCGTCTTCAAAGCCTACGAGAACATAAAATTTCCTGGAATTGCACGCCAATTTTCTGTGAATACAGTATATGAATTATCGGATAAATACCGGTTCTTGCTGTATAGCTCCATGGTTGGTATAATTCCTCAATGAGCGCAGGGGTTCGGTATATCAACTTAAGCCATGGAACCAGTTTTTTTCGACTGCAGGAAGAATAATTCGCTTTGAGCAAAATCTGTTGAATTTGTATACAAACATGATTCCCTTCCTACTTGAGAGCTTCGCAAATGAACGCCTTGAAGTGGGCGTCAGGCGATCGCTTCAGAGGTGTGTGCGAAGCAATAACTTTCCCGATGGCTGACAACAATGTTTGCTTGGTGGTCACAGCCTTGCCCCCAACAATGTCGAGCCCGAAGCTTTCGGAAAGTTTCCTTTGCGGCGTTGCATTGTACGAAGGGCCGCGCTTGATGTCATAGTATGCGAGGAGTAGGTCCCACGCGTGTAGTACTTGGGGTTGTACTTTGATGCTTCGTCGAGAGAAGCAGCCCGTCCAGGGCACGAGGGCTGTAGACGGGGTGAAATGCTGCGGAGGAACAACGCGGACAAGATGATCAATTTGTTTCACTTTGAACCCGCGGGCGGGGTTTAGCTAGCACCTTCATCAATCCGTGATGCATCAGGTCTCGCAGCGCTGGTGCAAAGCTTTTCCTCACTGCGCTCACCAGCAACTCCGAATTCAATGTTGTCAGGGCTTCGTCTGCATCTGAGTTGTATCCAGCAGTTTCCGCTGCTCGACGTTTGCATCTTTCCGCATACTTCGAGAGTTTTTCGATTGAAAGTTGCAGGGCAGCTCGTTTATCACTAAAAATAAATGGCACGTCATTTCATGGCTCTCGACAACTGATTTTTTTACCGAGAAAAATCGCGATTCAAATAACCAGCAGCTTTATTTGCATTCATATAAAAAGTGATTAAATCTTCGCAATAAATCTGAAAGAGCTTGACAATTTTCCTAACCCAAAGCTCACGAACAGGCTGTGCGTGGGATTTTTCCAGGTGATTCGCGAAACAGGTAATAAAAAAGATTAACGGTGTTGACTATTATCGAGCGAGTATACTGTTATGCTCATGATTCAAGCTAGTATCAGCTGAGGAAAATTTCGGCAAATGATCGATGAAAATCAAGAAAATTGTTTAAAAAATAATTAATGAACTTCTATTTCCTGAAGTCTGAAGTATCGAAGGAAGAGAAAGACCTGCACAGGTGGTAATTTTGCCAGACGGTACTCCCATCAGAAATTGGCGCATTAAAAATTTCCCGTCTTGAGAGGGACACAACCCGCAAGAGCATAGAAACGCCTTGCTCAAGTTTCAGTATTTTTTCAGTTAACCTGTTCAGTCAACGGATCTGCAAATATTTACTGCACGGATCTGTAAATATATACTGTACCTGTATAAATGCTACTCAATAAAAAAATCGGAGAGATACACGAACTATGAAGAACAAACCCCCAATGGTTCCCGGCTGCTGTTTGCTTCAAAATGTTTTTCCTGAACGGATCGGCAGCGCAGCCGAATTGCCCTGCTGCAAAAATGTGCAGAAAATCCAGCAAGCGCTGCATCGCTTTGAGGCTCTTCTCTTTCATCTGCGACGATTAAAATACATTTTAGAGCTTGCTCTATTTATTATGGAATTTTTCATGCCTCTTCTGCATCTCGAAAATGTTTCCCATTTGCATTAGATCGAGGTCCAATAAACGGCGCCAAAGACCCCTGGCTGTGCCCATGCACTGGACAATTGCAGGTGCAGTGTTTCGTCCCTTTTCCAGCGCAAGATTGCCCGTCACCTGGTTTAATCAATCACGAGGAATCGAAGCAAAATTTGAAAGAGCCCGAAAAGGAAACAATAAATTCACGGATTTGACAGATACCTTGAAGAAATTCGACGAATCTTTCCAGATCTTGGATTTGAGTTGAAAGCTGCTCCAGCAATTTTTCTTTCATTCGAAGTGGGTTCATCAGCTGAAGACATTAAAAATCCCGATAAGTACACTTAATCTGCACTGCGCCAAAAAGTTAAAAAAAAAATTTGATCACAGTATTTACCTGAGAAACAGCATGATCCACCTGCTTCCGAAGTTCATCCGCAGATAATCGATCCAGGTCTTCGACTTCAAAATCCAGCCGATTTCTCAGCTGATCTGAAAAAAAATTTAAATGCCATAATCATCGTGATGAATGATGCAAAAAAGCAACAGGCAATGTTTAATGCGCGTGTACGTAAAGCGTAAAAATGTTCTGATTTTCCTTTGGAGCGGTGAAAGTTCGAAAAATACCTATTATCACTTTTTGCTTTTCGAGAACAACCGATTGAGGAAGTCCTGCTTCTCCTGTTTCATAAGCAAATGCTTCGAGATCAGCAAGTTGGGTTTTCAGCTGAGCGATCAATTCCTGTTGCTTCAATTTTTGCTGTTCGAGGGTGTCTGCTTCACCGTCTGGTTGCTGGAAGGAACGCGTTTCCGCGGAAATTAAAATCATGGGATGATTAATGACGAGCGAAGAATTTGACTTTGCCTAAATAATCCGCCCACTCACCACGAGGTTTTCTCGGATAGTGTCTTTCAGTAATCCTCGGACATCAGGAATTCCTCTCGATGCAAACTCCTCTAGCTCTTTCAGCAAATCTTGTTTTAAGTTGTCCGGGGCTTCCGTTATTTGCTGTAGCCTGAATTGTACCTGAAATTCACATCGACGTTCATTGATATTGTAGTGCATGCTAAAATCACTTTAAATAATGTGTAGAATCCTACTTGTGCGAAGTGGGTAGTCAGTTGAACCAGAGAGGAAATAAGTTGCTCTTGCTCTTCTTCCAAAACTTGCAAACGAGATTCCTTCAGTAGTTGATCCGCCTTTTCCTCGAAAATGCTGAAAGAAAGAAATGCAATCTGAATTTGTGCTAGTACAGTATCGTTTTATTGCTGGAGAGTTCAGGTGTATAGAAGGTCGTTTCATTTTATTGCTGAAATTTGACAGGACTTCTATACCTTCATTTGAAGATTCCTCGAGGGCATAGAGTTTTCAATTACGCATGAAATCTGCAAAACGTATTTCAAAATCGGAGTCTATGTTTTATACACATGCACATGTACAAATGCTGGGTTTTGAATCAATGCAGTTGCATTAAATGCCGGTCGCTTTGGTTTCACTTCAAAAAAGATACATTGTTCGGAGTTGATTTGAAGACTATGTCGCATGTTTAAATGCTTCAATGCATGCGTTTAAACAAAATAGTTTTAAATCCATTTAATTTCTTACATACAATGTATAAATGTTGTTAGATTTTTTCAAGACTGTTTTCTGCGGTTAAAAGATGGGGATCGCATTGGGAAAATTTTCTTATTTTCACGCGGATCAAATGGATCAATAAACATCAAGTATTCTTCACGAGTCCGAGGAAGCATTTTGATGGTATTTTGTGTGTTCTTAGACCTTTCCTCTTTCCGGAAAATTTCGTCAATTTTTATGAAATCAGCTTAACTAACCTTTCAACACAATCAGGAAAATCTTCCGTGTCAGTGGCAGAAGCTCCGAGTGGAGCCATTCTTTCCAATGGGAGACTTTCGTTGCTCATCGAAGAATGTCGATTATCCAGAGCACCATCCCCGCAGTCCAGCAAGTTGTCTACGCACTGTCGAAAACTCTCTTCATTCGAAAAATCTGCCTCCCATGGTTCCTGATTTTCCTCACAGGCCATTTCCGGTGCTGGAAAAAGAAATGACTCCACGTCCAGCGATGAAACACGTGTCACTCCTGCAAAGCCCACGACGCAGTGAATGTCAGCAATGCTGTCAGACTAGCTGACTGTGCAGGACTGAGGCCTTGCAGGGGTTGCTTGCTTGGCACCCCTCTGGCTCTGGATCATCAACTGAGCATGCCCAGTCAGAGGAAGGGGAAGATCCTGCTGACGAGACTGTTCCGCAGGACAGGCAACAACGAAACGCTATAATAATGCCCAGACCGTTGGCAAATGCGTGTCGACGGTGTATCCGCTACGTTTCCTGTGGAATAAGATATTCTGAAAATTCTCCAAAGCCCAATTTTTTTTATTAATTTCGGCGGAACCTTTCATACATTCCAAAGCCAAAACGATAATGTGAAACAATTTGCCGTTATTTTTATTTTATTTTTTTTCAAGTCGGCTGCTATTCCATTCCCATCGGTGTAATCAAAATATTTTCATTCGCAAAAGTTCGGCAATTTATTGTATTGCTTTTAAATCATTCATAATAAAATTTTACGTAAGAATGACGGTAACGAAAAAATACCGTTCATGAGTCATTTAAGGAAAAATTGTGATTGCTTGTTTATATCATTGTCATTTTTTTAGTTTGCATAAATTTGCCCGAAATTTTCGCGTCACAATTTTTTAAACGAATATAGAGACAAAATACTGTATATTCATATGAAGACGAACTACAGTATTTATAATCAAATTTTGCTATTCAAATGACATTTTATTATTGACATCTCAAATTTTAGTGTGATCTCATATACTTTTGTCACAGCAAAAGTTGTTTCAAGCCAGCGCCCTGAGAAATACGCGAGTTTTACGTGCAAAGAATAAGACTGTAATACAAACGAACATTCAATGAATCATATTTCTTCCAGATGCTTTGTTAGTCACAAGATGCAATACTAAATCGGATGGAAACTTCCCGCGGGTTTTGTTGCTGAAAACTGGTCAAACATGATTTTTTCCCCGATACACTGTTCCCAACATAAATTTTTTCCGAACATACTAACCGGCGGACATCTTTGACCCCCATACCAGGCCAGAATTTCCATTTGCAACGTTGGCTGGTGATGGAATCGCGTGGGAGGCCAGTAGACGATACCAGAATAGCAACCTTAGGACGTCACCCGCCGCAGGCACACATATATACAGGGACTATTTGGAATCACGTCAGTTCAACGGCGTTCATCTGCGTCGCGCGAGAATTGCTTTCCTGTCCTGCAATGATGAATAATGCATTTCCTGGGTGAATTTATCACGGGCACTGACACATTGGAGACTTCCGCAATGATTACTTGGAAAGGCTGTGCTAGTAGGGGACTGAATGTAATTTTGTTGAACACTGTAATACAAACGCTTGACTCATATGTCGATGAGAAGCATACTCAAGATGGACTTTCTTTTCTAAGGCAGAAAATTGCGTCCCATAAAGGAGCATTTTCGGGCTTTCAAAAGTCGCTTCCTGCATTCCTCTCTCTTATACATCTAAATTAGTCAATCCTCTGCATAATTTGAGCTCCTGGTCTGGCTACGGAGAGGAACTAAACGATTTGCCCAAATCCATTGTTCTGATCCCGTTGAAATGTCGCTTTAATTTCCAACTCACTCATTTTAATATTACTGTGGATTCCCTCAAGGTGCTTCAACATTTTATCCATGCCATTTCTCCCCCGGAAAGAAGGCAATGTCCGCCGCATATATAATGCAGTTATAAAGAACAGGAACCCGGTTCCTCAAATTTATTGGTATGCAGATCACTGTGATGGAATTGCAAATTTTATCCCGAGAGATCGAGACACTTTTTTGTAAATAAACGGATAAAGAACCAACACCGATGTGCGACTCAGTGCTTAAAATGCCCTTTCGCCACGAAGCCGTCATTGTCACTAGAAAGTAGAACTTGACAGACAACAGGAAGACACAGGGGCTCATGTAGTATGGTACTATTGAGACCATAGCCAGCATTTTTTGTGCGTGATGGACGGAACCAGCGGAAATTTCCGTCAATATCTGGCTCCTTTCCTCGCAGCTGTGGGACAAAGCTGCAGCAAGAGAGGCGGGCAGATAACACAACTGCTGGCAATTATGCGTGTCACTTGCGCTCAGTTTTCCAGATAACACGAACTGTTCTTGTATTACTGTACCAGTAATTTTCTTTTTGTTTCGCAAGCAGATGACGATAAAACTATTTTCGGGGCTTATTATTGCTGGCGATTATTTTGATATAAATCATGCACTTGAAAGCCAGCTGGTTCGCAGGTACAATCAACGGTGAGCTGTTAATTTTGAATCCTACTTTAAATCTTTCATTTTGATTATTTTTATGCACATACTATACTTGAAAACCTGGTAATCAGGCAAATTTAACGGTGCTGAGCGCTTCATTTTGAGTCCTTGAAAATATTTGCAGTTCCTGGATCCTGACGATTAATGCACAATTCTTCTTTCCCGTAATCTCCAAGACATGAATAATCATGAAGTAGTAGAAGTACCATGTATATGAAAAATGATATTATTTGTTTGTTTTGTTCTTAGGACCGCCCGTATGCATGTATTGTGACTGTCGAACATGAATTAATAAAGTAAGTTGCAGGACTGCCATATTAGACAACCTTTTTTGCGTTGGAAATCCTGTGGCTCACCATGTTATCCCTTCCAATATCGTACTCATTATTGAACCTCATTATTCAATATATTTTTATTTTTGTTGAAAACTCGCAAGATTTGAGCGATTGCGGCCACGGCAGTTGTCGAATTTTGTACACGTCCCACCGCATGATTGAAAACAAACTATAAAAATCGCGCTGCTTGCTGTATTGCATTTCAAAAACCGCTTCTTACCAAATGAATTTGCTCAAACAAGCTTGCACGCTTTGAAACGACGCCCTTGTACCTACCGTTAAGCTATTTTCGGCTACGGATTAGCAACAGGTTCGCCCAAAGTCCATACAGATCACCAGCACCAACAATAAAACGAGCCGTACGGCTGGAATCGGTGCAAATCCGGATGTTATTGCCTTGGCTGAATGTTCGCATCTGGTCCAATACGATGCAGACCCCGACCCGTATGAACCATTGATAAAGCGCAGAGCACTTCCCTGCGCTCGGGTTACCTCGCCCTCCGGAGTATCTTCGAAGAACAGCTGGAAGGAAACATAAACTCGGGGGAAATACGTCTACGCAGGAGAAGAAGTAACAAGTTCGGCAAGAATAGCGGTGCCCGAGAAGCCCTGAGAGTCGATAAGAATACTGTACAAGTGTACAGTATATGCGTACGCCATCCATCCTCCCTGCCGAGCGTTGACGTCATAGCCATTCTCTCATTCGTCCTCATCAACTAGCCCGACGGAATCTGGAAACGGATGCGAGTGAATGTCGGATTATGCCAGGATATCAAAGGTTTTTAATAAGATTACTGCGTTCCCTTATGGCATTCCAATGACCCATCACTTCATCTATAAGAGTAATTAATTCACATATCTGTCCGAATTTTCCGGCGAAGATGAGGCAATAAAGAAAACATAGGCCGGTGTTGAAATGTGAAGTACTGTACTGTAATGTATTTCTAAAGGTTAGAGCTACCAATTAAAAATCATCTCGAAGTTGAGGAAACTTGCATTAACTTCATAACATGCACTTTATCATGTAATTAATTCACATATCTGTCCGAATTTTCCGGCGGAGATGAGGCATTAAAGAAAACATAGGCCGGTATTAAAATGTGAAGTACTGTAAAGTATTTCTAAAGGTTAGAGCTACCAATTAAAAATCATCACGAAGTTGAGGAAACTTGCATCAACTTCATGACATGCACTTTATCATGTAATTAAGCATAATCTGCAAAGCAATTACATTACCTTGAATTTCATGTCGGCCTTTCAGAAGACATAATCTGTTGAATATAACCCTTTTCCCGGTACAGCCTTGTATAAAAAATGTGCAGCGATGGTTACAAATTGTTTTTCTCACCTGCAAGGAGCAATCCGAACGACTTTTCTTAGAACTGAAACATACCGTACCAATCTCGCGAACAATCCAAAATGCATCCACTTTTATTCACGAGGATAGCAATTTTATTCCGAAAAAGGCCCATTTTTTGGGTACTGAATAAACAGCTAAGCGCAGGTTGTGAAAGGAGGAACCGTATAGGATAGGATGTCGATCCTTGCCGTGCTTCTCATCCCTGCGTGGGTTTTCCAGATTTCCTACGGCTTTTGGTTTCAGAATATGAAGCCTTTTTTTACTTGCTTGACGAATGTATCAGAGAGGTTGGCACCGGAAACGTGCACTTTTCAAAAACTTGTTTTCTTCATGATGACGTCCTCCTCTTCGTGACTGAATTTAAGAGTTCAGGGTCGTCGCGCTATACATTTTGTGTCCAGAGAAATACTGCTTTGTATATCAGAGTTTATCTATTTTCGGGTAAATAATCATTGCTCTCCTAACGGGGGTTTCACCATACCGGATCCAATTTGATTGCAAACTTTTAAATAATTCACTTCACACGTTCATTGCGATGATGGAATTAGAAGAAAAATTAGAATACTGTACCGGTAATTTAAATGCCTATAGATTTACTTCAGTATATATGTAGAACTTCGGCTAATTGCAGATCGAACAAAAGTGCCCACCACCGCCTCGCTCAGCAGCTTTTTGGAGTATGATTTTTCAAAGTATAGCAGATTAATCAAAGTTCCTGAGAAGTACGATAGCTAAGATCATGTATCATTTTTAGGCAATTGAAATAGCTCCTATTCGACCTCAGTTCTCACATCCTGAATTCTTTGAAAGTATCTCGAGAAATCGGTCCACCTCACAAGCAACTTACGGTATGCATGAGAAATACTTGCATGATCGATAAACGAATATTGTTGATTTTCGTTCGAGTCAAGGCTTCCGAGGATTGTACTGCGTCGAATTCTGCCGGAAGTAGCGAAACCAGATGTCGTTGTATCTTGTCTCATTATTTTCTCACGGCTCGACAAAACAATAAAAATGTCGTGACGTCATGTCTGGATACGAAGACGCTGTCCCATTGATCCCACGACCGAGTTGAATCTGATTCTCTCGAACATTCCTCAGAAAGAAAAACAAAAACTGAATTCGCTGAGCGTGAGCCTGAACTTCTAAATTCGCAACTGTATATAATACAAGTTTACATTATGTCAGATCCGACAACAGAGTTTGTTCATCCTTTACCAAAGCCAACATCGTTGCCATTTTATTGAAACTTCAGTGAGTTCAAGTGATGTTCCAGATCATCTTCTGAGCATCCTATATAGCGAGTCAGAAGCCGCTACATTATTTTTTCTTGAATTGTCCATATCTGTTTATGGGCATCGTCGCCGACGCTTCGTCTGTGGTTGCGGCTCTTTTGAGGGATTATCTTCGTTGTGTAATAAAATGCCGACCTGGATTCATCAAGTATAAGTTTGATGTTGACATAACGAGTCAGTAATTCAGGTCGACCACCACAAGCGCCATCATATACCAAAGAGTTCATCGGAAAAATTTCGCAAATTACATTAAAAAAAAATGCCGTATATTTAAATGAAATGCCTGGGTATCCAGCAGAAAATTGTGCTTTTTGTGATAACTCAGATTATCAAAAGAGGACTCGAAAACGTGTATACTCACACTTCATACGAAAATTTTATTCAATTCATTTCAAATTCATCATTTATTCATTGAGCTTCAAAGTCATGCAACAGGTTCATGAAGGTTTCGTGGGAAGCACCGCAGCGAAGTTTGAACGAGTGGGTCAAAAAGGATAGAAAGATTTTATGGAAATCTGGCCATCCCGGAAAAAATTGCTCAAACGTTTTGATCGAACTCGGTGCATGGCTGTGTTTGCCGCTCGCTCACTTGTGCGCATGCGAGGAAGTAATCGCGTGCTTCACTATAAGGAATGAGAGAGCTGGGTAACAAAATTATACATGCAAAGCAAAAGAGGGATTCGAGGGGCCCAAAATAAGGCATCCTCTGTTGCATCGCGTTGGGATAGGTTTTAGTTTCAGCAAACATGAAATTCGGCTGTCCTTGAGTTCAGCCTGTGCGTTGAATTTTCCGTTGACGATTCCATGCTGTAATTTTTTTCCTGAAACGAAAAAATTACAGTAGATTACATGAAGTAGATTACACTACTTCCCGTTTCAATAATAGTCATGGATGAAGCAAAAATTATTTTGTAATTGGTTCTCCCAGATGGATAAAGGTGATACAGTATATAGTTTACAATATATATAATATACTATTTAAACTGCATCACTCAGCACTGCATAATTTTAAACCTTTAAAACAATAACACAAATGTCATTCAATCGTTATTTTCAAATACTGTATTATAAACACGCAAAATCAAAATGTATTTGTATGAAAATATAGAGGAGAGTTTCTCCGTAGTCCGCGGAGCCCCTTCGAAATTTATCAGGAGCCCCTCATACCCTTTTTCCGTGACAATCTGCTGAGCCCCTGTGACGTTCATTAATTTCCTCCAACGGCTCCATATGCACTTCACAGTTCACAGGAGATCCGCGGATGTTCGAAACAAAATTGCAGAAAGTTCAATTGTTCAAGATGAAGACCGGATAGGTCTTCAAAAATCGACAAGAACTTGTGGGCCCATATTTAGAATTACTGTACAGGCTTTTCACAGAATGTTGTCATTTCTTGAGCTCCAAAATATTTACTTGCGAGACAAAGGGTGGTCTCTTTCGAAGAATTTCATTTTAACAGAGACCATGCGTTAAATAAATACGGTATAATATATTTTTCAAAAAGCATCCATTGGCAAACATTTTTTGCAAATCGAGTCTAGGGCTACTTTTTTAAAGAGCATTGTTTCCTCGAATGTCCAAAGCAGCATACCAATCCAACAATTGCATAGCCATGAAATTAGGGGAGCAGTCTTTAAAAAGCTAATTGATCATTTATTGGTTGAGGTGGCAGCTCAGATTGTCAAGGAGGGGGATAATTTTTAAAGATGCATCTTTGGGGGTTTTGTCCCCACGGGATAATCTGTAAGATAGAAGAGAATTTCGTCACGAGCACACCGAAGCTCAGATGAAGATCTTCTGATTCCTTTGTAATTCTCTCCGGGAGACTGGGCTGAAGATATGCTCGGATTCGCTGAGAGAATTTTGTGAAGTTCCCATTGTCGAGCGAGAGACACGACAGCGTAGCCGAAGCCGACGAAGCGACGCAAGTCAGCTGACAGTGAGCCCCAGATCACCGATGGGTTCGAACCGCGCAGCTTCCGAAATCCGATCGATTCCTAAGATGAACTGGAGTGCAGTGGCGGTAATGTCGTTCGTGGCGGCTTTCGGCGTCCCCGTGACGATGGCAGCGATCTTCGTGCCTAGTCAGCCGATGGTTAATGAAATCCAGACGAGAGCGAAGTGTGGCGGAACATTCGCCGAGAAGCACGGCGTCGTCGCGACGCCCAATTTCCCGAACCCGTTTCCGGTCCCGATCGAGTGCAAGTGGATTTTCCGCGGTGCTCCCGGAGACCATATCACGGTTTACCTTACTCAATTTTACCTCAAAGAAGGTAAGCTCCGACTGAGTCTCGTTGAATGCAATCATCTAGGTCGCTTTCGAATCTCAAAATAGTTTCAAAGCGTGATTCTCGCAAAACTCAACCCACAAAAAGGAATTCATTTCGGGGATATAATTACATAATCATACATTTACATCATAAGTGGGTGGGACAATGTGAATGGAGGGGGAAATCCCGGCAACATTTGGACAAGCGCAAAAGTTTGGTGCTGAGGAGGAAAACGGCATTCTTGCGCTTTCTGGTGGTTTGGGGAATCGGTGGTATTGATTTCACCCGATGGTATTTTTTCGGTTATTTTGAGGATTTTCCTGCAGAAATTTTCTATGTTCACCAGTTTTGACGCTCGACATTCTTGGTGTACCATCACTTGGCCGAGTACCACCCATGTGGCACCTCCCTTGGCCTCAGAGCTTTCTTTCTGCCGTATTCACACTCTTGCCTTGAATTAACGACGTAAGAAGTCACCCTCACGTCAAGTTCGACAAACGCAAGCATTTCGGAAAATAAAATTCATTCACTCAATCTCATATTCAGCTGATTTGAATTTGAGCCCTGGTCCAAGTGTAACGCTGAAGATTGCCGTATGCTTAAATCTTGAAGTGAACCCTTACGCGTACCAACAGAGTACTTGGTACGCTGCATGCCATCACTGGCACACGTACCTTTCAATCGCATGGTGAATTAGTAGTGAATGGAATACGCAATGTCCTCTGAAATGACCTTTTTTAAATCTCTTTTCCCCAAGAACCATAAACTTGTTGTTGGGATGTCGTCAGGATTTGTCTTCTTCAACATTGCTCCACCTTCCTTTAATGGAAATTTCTTAATGAAATATTCACGCGCGAACTCTCCCATGAATAACATATATTGATTGATAAATGTGTAGAAGGACCGCGGCTCATTCAAAGCTTAGATCACGAAATTTAAACCGTGTATTGTGGAACGTTCGCTGTATAATTTCCTGGACATGGCACCTGACGGTTTTCACCTCACAGGTTGGAAACGCTGATCGTGGTACTACAGTTGCTTACAGGCAATACAGTTATATTGTCTGTAATTACAGAACACAGCAAAAATGCTCGTTCACGTACAATCTGTCAGATGCCAATGCCAACTTAAAATCAGATGAAAGCATTCCCGAAGACCATGCGACAAATAACTCTCCGGGGACAGGTAATTGCGGGGCTTGAATATCCTGCGATGTGCAATTAGTAATGACTCATATCCTGAGCAATATGTATCCCAAAAATTGGTCTCTTATTAACGTCGCTTTTTCATTCCGTCGCAGAGATTCAAGCATAAAAAACATTTTTCAATACGCTAAGAAATGAAGATAGAAAACTGAAAAATATGTTCGAGTCCGGAGCAGTTGTTTTCGGAAATGACTTCCCTCCATGAATGCTAATAAATTCATAGTATCCAGATAGAGTGCGTGATCCTATATTGTATTCATGAAAGAATGAACCCATACTGGAGGAAAGCATTGTAGTTTTCCTCTTTTTTTTAGTTGTTACTTCGTGATAAGAATGCAGAACCCTTTATACACAATAAATCCTTTTGATTACAAGTCTGTGACGCGAGGAAAGGGGTGAGAAAAATTATAACGAGCAAACGGGAAGAGGAAAGTTCCTCACACCCCACTATGAAGTGTGACCTAACGATGCACTGTGTATTCCACGTAGAAATGTGACATTCTTAATAATATGTCTGCAAATGAATATTCCTGTAGTATGCGAAAAGTAAATATACTTTTGTGTTCAAGTCCATCGACAATCTTCTGTAAAAAATGACATCTTACGATGCAGCCAAGAACTTTCAAAGTCAATTGTACTTTTCTTGCTATTTAGCTAAAAATTTAACGTTCCTGGATTTTATATGTCCTATATGCGCTCAAGTTTCATTCCTTCTTCAGAAGACGATTAAAAATCATTAATTAATGGTTCGATACATTGATGAAAGACAAAAGATTGTGAGGATTCAAAACTAGGTATTTATTGGACATCATTAATGAAAACTGGTGGTACCGTATATAATCGAACACTTTCAATAGGCACACGTTTCCTCCAAATTTTGGCGAGGAAAAAAGGGCTGCGCGCTTATTCAGATGAAAATGCTAACTGTGGCGCGGTTTGATAAAATATTCCTATTCAAATGCAAAAATCATGACTCGTCGGGATAATAGTAAACCAAATATAACTCCTCTTCATAAACCCTTAACGCAGTAGCTTTCAGGGTTTTGAAGTACTGATGTGCTCCTAAAAACTTCTGAAGTGCGCTTAAGTTAATGCGGACTGCTTTTTTGAGCGTCATGCCAACCGCGAAAGGTCGAATCTCAGTGACCTTCATGCGACGATTTCCCCTCGGTTTATTCGCAGGCTTCCACGCTGCAGCCTACGGATTCTATTCAGACGATCACATTTTTATGGCGAAAGATGACCTCGGGTCCGTGGCAGCCGACGAGTCCGTGGCTTACATCTCGACGCGAAAGCCTGTTCTAGTCCTCAGCCTCAGCCTCATGTCGACAGAGAATGTGAACCTCCGGGTGAGGGACAGGTTCCTGGACGTGTATGGATTTAACATCACCTACGAAATGCGACGTCCGCGGTCACGGAATTTCGTCTGCACCGTTTTTACCTGCTCATTCAACGGGCATTGCTTAGCGTCATCGTCCTTCCGGTACATTTGAACGAGAGCAACAATCTGATTTGCCTCTTTTCTTAATTGTTGTTTCGTTGCTGGGTATTATCTGTCGTGAAAGCTTCCGATCTGCTTTAAAAACAGCATAATCTCTAATTTTCGGGGCAGAAATGTTCGACCTCAAGAAGCTTTACAGTTTAAGTTGCAGGATTCTTGAATTTTTTACTGCATCAACTTGAGGTTAAATCAGAAATTCTCACCGGGATCCAAACGAGGGTCAGCGCAATTTATACCGGGTTGTCGTCGTCAATTTCCGTCGATCTGCTCATACCTTGAATCGCATCCTTGGAAATGATTGACCAATTTTTGGTTTTCATGTTCCTTGTGTGTACCAGTTGGCGAACAGTAGCTGACAGGCTTGCAAACTAAAATACTTTTTTTATTTACGGGGATGAAACAAGAAAGTACTGTACTCACCTGTCAGAGCCCTCATAATCATAGTGGGAGCTTTTTCTAAATATGCCTCAAAATGACGACATACAGAAATAACCGATCCGAAAATCGATTCTTAGAAAGAAAGTTTTAAAACTGTAATTTTGGCACTTCCATGTTCAGATTCTACAAATGCCAATGCTTTCCCGGGTTTTTCGGAGCAAATTGTCAATATGGGCCCGGATGTGACCCGGAGAGACACGTCGAAGTGTGTCAGAACGGCGGGAGGTGCAGGTACCCACTTGATATCAGATGGTGTCCACCAGAAAAAAAAGACGAAAGTATCTTCCTAATTTTGCAGCTATGTTACGGGACCAACAGGAATTCAATGCACGTGTCCACCGGGATTCACTGGGTCACGATGCGAAACGATCTATGCCGATGGAATTCAGAAACGTGAGAGCAAATTATTTTTCTGTATCGTGCCTGAAATGTGTAAATATGACTTTACGATAGTGATTGGAGAAAATGGAATTCCATTCATCTAGCATGATCATAATGCATCCCTTTAATTATTTTTGAGCAGAGTGTGAACTCGCGGGAGTAAATTGCACTCAGGTTTGCTCTTTAGAAGAAAACAAACCTGTGTGCTCATGCAACAAAGGATTTGAATTGGCCGAAGACAACGTATCCTGTCATGAAACTGGTGAGACTTTTACAATTAATCATCGTGAAGACCAATCATCCATGTCCCCGAGCGTAATTTCCAATGTTTTATTTTAAAAGGAACAAAAATAGCTCGACCATCAGTCAAGTAACGATCAACGGTATCAATATAATCTTCTTCTAAAGCACATTCGTCACAATATTCATTGCACAGCCCCTGGTCGGTAATTTGATTACCGTTTCTAATTCCCTGGCTACATCCACGCCGTCACGATGTGCAGCTAATTTGATTACACGTGGGTGAGGAAATTACTGGAGTATCCCAGCTAGGGAACTCTCTGCGTCGCAGTCTGCTGGCTCATTTGTGTCACATCTTGCTGTCGTGATAAAATTCACGCTATTTTAATGAAAACTACCCTATCTGAATCACTTACAGCCATGATTTACTCGTATATTCCGTTGTTATTAACACAGAGAAGTGCAAGTGATATTTTAAAAATGCGTAAATTCAAGTGCTCTGTCGTGTTTAATTAAATACGCACTTTTTCCAAATTGGCTCTGCAAAGGCAGGGTGCATTTTAGGGTGATGGCGTTTTGTAATTGAATGTTTCTTACACATGATTGTGCCTTGGATTATCATGTAATGTAAATTGATAAATTCCAAGAGTTCCAATCATTTCAAACTTTTGAAGCAAAAATAAATTTTAAATTCATTTAAACAAATCCTCCTCGCTGCGGTATTAAAACATTTCACGGCAAAATAATCGTTGAAAATTGTGAAGCATTAGTACGATCAATATGAATAGGAATCTATGTTCAATCAAAAAGTTCACACGGGCGATGGTACTCATTTCCTTTCTTCAAATGTTGTAATGCTTTTGTCAAGAGTTTTCCAGAGATTCGAGAGAAAAATTCGAACTGAAATTCAAGTTTTCCTTTACAACGACGTTCGTCCGAATAAGTAGCTATATCAACAGAATCCTCTTCAGCAATAAAATGAGTGGAAGTCGGTTTTATGATAGCAAAACAAATTAGCATCAAATTTCATAAGGAAACTAAGAGTAGTTATTACAATTGATTACATCTCATAGTCAAGTGAGAACATTCTTCTATTTTTCGTAAGCACTAAGGTCGAATATATACTGTGTTGTGATTAGAAATTAATTCAACTATTTTCCCATTACCGGAGAGATTTTTTTTCCTTTTGTTCTGTGGACTAAGGTCGAATATAAATATTCAGTTAATAAGTATAGACGTGTGTTCAACAGTCGAATATTGACTTAAAATGCTGTATTTAAAGGGGTGACAAGATACGTGGCCAGTCTGAAGTTGAAAAATCTTCACATCGATCCCCTGCGAGTGAACCGTTCGTCGTCAGATTACATCGAACTAAAAAGCAAAATCGAGACGCCTCTCTCCGAATATTTGCAGACACGTTTAACAAACAGCGTCGAGTTGGAAATTTACGGATTTCAGTAAGCTTTTTTTTTTGCATCGACTGAGACTTTGCATATAGGCATGGGTCTCAATGGGTTTTAACGCAGCTTCTTTCCTGATTTCCCTCGAGTCCGGGGGCAATCGTTGAGTTCCAGTTCCTTGCGCTGAATGACGAGAGCGGATTGGCCAGAGACGCGTTGGCGGAAATCGTGAATAATGGCTCCCTCGGAAACGTTCTCAAGTTCGACTCGCATTTCATCAAGTTCGAACGGGAGCCTACTTTAAATCTGCAGGTTGGAAGCGATCTGACATATTGTACATCTCTGAACGGTTACGGTTTAAAAATTAATAATTTTCTCCTTCCGAGCATTCTCAGTTTGAGATGCAATTAATATTCTCTTAATAATCGTTCTTACTGAATCACCCAACATTGTTCATTCTGACCCTCCTGCCTCAAGCACTTCTTTTCCTAAAAGTTTGCTGGGTGGAAAAAGCCCTTATGCTAAAATGCAAATTTTAGCCGGTTCAGAAGTAATCTTTGTAAAGTTTATCTTGTAAAGATTGTAGTGCACGTCATACGAGGGTTCCTGTGATTGATAACACGAGTAAATACTTTTTTAAAGATGCAACCGACCAGTTTCTATGAAGAAGTTAATCTTATTCTATAGTGGTAGAAGCTTTTTTTGCAGATATTTTTTCTTTCCAATGCATCGTGCGATGGCGCTTTTTAAACATAACCGAGACGACAAGGTTTCTTTCACAGACGCAATATCACCCGTGTATTCTGTTCTGTACATTTATTTCTCAAAATGATGATATCAAATGGATTTTATAGAGTGTAACTTTAAATATTTGAAGTGCCTCCTTAAAATGTGCGGGAAATCATTTAAAAAAAGGTACTGCACTTTCAAGAAGCCCATCCATTGCGGACTTTAGTTTTACCGGTTCCTTTGCTGCATCGGAATCGTTGAAACGTCTGCCAAAACTTTAATACGGTACTGTGATCTGTTCAGTTTAGGAAAAGGTAATCGCTCCAACGGAATCGTACTTGTTGGAGAAAAAAATCGTGGTTTTTATTCTTGGAGAGTTCACCGCTCTTCGAAGCTTTCATTATACAGTAGTAGTACTGTACATGAACTCAAGATTTGTTCAAGCAACAAACTTCCAAGTGTAAATGGGAAAGTTAGCAGCAACAGGGTACCGGAGAAAAACGGTATTGAGGGGTGTGCTTGGGTATAGAAAGTGGACCGAGACGTGCCGTCGCCGGCGGAGCTGGGCTGGAACATGACGCTGACGTGCATCGCGACGGGGACTCGGGAACTGTCGTTCCAATGGTTCAAAGACGGATCGCGGGTTGCGGTGTCCAAGGCAATGCGGTGAGGGCCCAGCGCAAGGCCAATCGCGTCCTTTCTCGGGGCAGTGTGTGACAATCTTGTTGCCAACGGGTGTCGCAGGCCGTGTAAGGAAATCCTGTGGCCGCGGAATTCGAGAAATCAATACACGACGCAGTTGATCATCGGGAATATTCATCGCATCGACGCCGGCGTTTTCACATGTCGGGTGACTGATTGGAACAACTCCCAGGAGAGGTCGATCCTCGTCAAAGTGCAAACGCCTCCTGTCGTCATCTTGGAACCACCCGGGGAAATTACCATCCTCAAGGTATGCTTATGCGATTCTACATTAGATTCAGCCGAGAAGAAACAAACTGAAATGTATGCCATCTTCTCAGAAACAGTTTCAGAAATCCAGTTTTATTTCTTGTTCCTGAATTTATCCAGTGATCATCCGGACTAATAACTAAAATATCACGCTAAATTTAATATTAATAGCAAAAAACAGCACCGAAATCTAAGAAACCACATACAACGATGGTCTGACACAATCCTAGTATTGCCGGATATTCCACGAAACTTGTGCAAACAATTAATAACTGAAGACCAGAGAGACATTAAACAGAAAAAATTTAAAGTATGCAGTCATTTTTCCTCTTTATAAATCCAAATTAGGGCAGCGTTGATCAAGTCCACGTAATCGAAGCTTCATTTTATTTCCCCGTCATCACACCATATTTTTAAATATAAGTTTAAAAAAACTTAAGAAAAAGTTGTACCCCTGGCCGGTCATTAATTCTTTTGTGGTTTAGTGATGATGCTGTATTTCTACACTTTCGTAATCAACATCCGCCGACTGTGTAAAGACTAAAGAGGAACTGTCTGAACACTTCTTTTTTTTAAACCATTGATCTTTACGAAGACGCCCAAAGCTTTTCCAGCAGCACTCACGAATCACGATTCAGTGGGATTTTGCTGAATTTATGACTAGAATCATTCATCGATGGGTAAAAGGAGAATGAATTTCTTTAAAATATCTTGGACCTAAATTCAGAACGAACAAGGTTTGTATTTGAGTTAATTTCACGGAACATTGTAGTACTGACATGGAAACTTTAAACTTCATGTTACCCCACGGAAATCATTTCTCGGACCTCAATATCTTGTATGGATTTTACTGAGCATTACAAGTTTTGTGGATTTAAGCCCATAATATAAAATAGGCTTAAATGACTGACCAATTCTGCAAAATTTGAAAATGAAAATTCCTCTTATTGTTGTTCACCGAAGTGTAAACGCAATTATCTTAACTTGATCAACTTGATGCGGATCTCAGAACCCGCAAAATCGCGCGCAGTTTTCTCCAAAGCGTACGTTATGCACTTCAGCAAGTTGAAGGAATATTTTTCAGAAAATCCTTATTCATGGAACGGATCAAAGTCCGTTGCAGTTTGAAATGCGTAGATGAGTTTGAAAGCGAGAGAAAATTTCCCATGAATATTCCCCTGAGCCATCTCAAGGTAACTCGTTTAAAAACTACGCGTACAAGAATGTTTCCTGTGTGACTCTGTCTTGAAACTATTGCGATATTATGACTCAAATAGCGTACAAATTTCTTCTTCAAACCCAGAACGCCAATTTCTCTGTAACGTGCATGGCGACAGACGACACCGGTCAAAATGGGTATACATGGATGAAGAATGGTCAATTGATAAATGACGAGATCGACATCATGTCTGAAGACCTTTACCCCGACGGATCTCGGTTATACCTGCATGACATTAAGGTTTAAATCCGAAGAAATAACTTTTTGAAGAACATGCGCTGTCAAACGAAATGCCCTTTTCATCTTCTCAGTCCAGGACAAAGGTGACGTGTCTGGTGACGAACACTGCTGGGAAAAGTTCAGCATCGATGTACATAACACCAATGGATCCAGAAGACGACAAGGATGACGTTTGCATAAAACAAGAGTCCTTTGGCATCTCTTGGCCAGTCACCATGAGAGGCCAGACAAGTTTGCAGCTCTGTCCACAGCATCACGAGGGGTAACACCTTCTTTTTCGAATGTCTCATCGACAAAATGCATAAATAACACAATGCACTGCTTCTTTGGAATCTCAGATAATTCCAGAATGGAGAATACGAAAAATTTAAATTCAAGCATGTACCGTAGATGCAATCTTAAAACAAGAAATCGTCTTCCAATCAATCTCTGAGACTTGAGTAGAGAAGCTTTCGTCTGAAAGAGCTCGAAGTGCATGTTGACGTCAATTCCATTCCATTAGCGAACATCCGTGTTAGAGTTTTGAAAACATCCGGTCTCCGGTGATCTTCCAGTAGAATAACGGCATCGAAGAAAAACATACATCAGCGGGGGTTTGGTATCCGGACGGCTCAACACACGGGCACTAACATTTACAAAATAAAAATAAAAATCTTATCAAAAGTTCGATATCTCATGAACAAATTGAGATGCTGTATAGAGTATACAGTATTGCCGTGAGCAAAATAATATATCGATAAAAGTATACTCTGATTATTATTCCCATACGTAATAGTACCGGACAATTTTGTCCATCTCTTCGTAAGCATCTTTTCATCAGCAGTGCACACCTGTGTGTGTATTTTTTGTGTGACTCCTTTCCATGCCAAAAGGACATGACTCAGCATTTTTATTTAGCACAGTTATTTTCTAAATAAAAGATTAAATTTTTCATTTCATGCAGACCAGCTACTTGAACAGTAGAGTATTCCGGAATCATGTAAAATATTGAAATACTGTACGGTAATCGAATTTAGTCGAGGTGATCTCACTTTCCGTGGTCAGTCACGAACTATAGAACATTTCCAAATTTAATATTGCTGAGGGGTTGCAGAATTCAAGCTTGTGGAAAGTCATTTAAAGACATCCACGTTATGGCAATTCGATATTTTTGCTGATGCTGTAGATATTCAAGACGTGCGTGCGACTTTGAGTACGCAGACCGGAAACCGACATGGGGTGCCCCAAATTTCGACAATTGTCGACCGTCAGTCATCTTGTCGCTTCGGAATAAGGTCAGCTATTTTCACGCCGTCAATTATGCGACGAAGCTTGCCTAGTGTCAACTTCGCAGCTGGAAGCACTGAGATTCGGATACGAAGTCATTGATCCGACGGCTGTCCCTGAGGAGATTCTCACCGACCTCGCGAGGCGTGCCCCAGTTCTCCCGCAATCTGGTGTCGATGTCCTGCACATCATGCGCGAAACGAGTGACTACATGATAACCCTGGAAATGACTGCCCGTCTCAGGCAATCCATTCAGGATTTCAGCCACGTGTTCAATTTTTTACTCAGTAATTCGACAGTTCTTCCTTCAAATTGGGCAAGTACCTCATAGTATACTCGGGTGAAGCGCACGTCAGCTGCAGAAGACGTGTGGCATGCTTTTACAATTAAAATTGCATGTGCGGTGGATCGTGCCAACCGCATGAATTCCTAGTTCCAAAGCGCAGAATTGCAATTAATTGGAATGTTGAAAGCTCGATTTACTCAAATAAAATCGAAACTACCATCAGCAACCGTATTTATTCGAGTACCACGCGCCCTCGAGTAAAACGCGCACCAGAGTTTTTCGGTCGGGAATTTTGGAAAAATCCTATCCCGAGTAAGACCCCTTTTTATTGACCCTAAAAGCACAGCATTTCAAAGATAAGAAACCCCAAATTTTAATTTAGAAATGAATCGGAATAGATGTGACCACTTTTCAACTGTTCCCATGAAATATACTTTTCTATTAAATTTCGTGTAAAATTCCTCCTTACAAGCAAATGTGAAGCACACCAAATTTTCTCAAACTTCAACATTTTTGCCCGCATATGACGCGCACCCACTTTTTCCTCTCAGCAAATTGAAAAAAAAAATTGCGCGCGTGATGGTACTCAAGTAAATACGGGTATATTTCATTCATAAACTTAAATTTTCAAAATTATTGTACTCATTTATCAATGACTAAAAGCAGCCCAAAATGCGTTGTTTGTGTCCAATTTGGTTGCTGAGTACAACATGCGTCTACATTTTCGAGGTAGAAAAAAGTTGCACCCGTGTATGACACGCGTAAATTTCTCAAGAAGCTTGGTTCATTTTTTTTTCTTGAAAAATTACTCCGCATAAAAAAGTTTAAATTGCTTCTGTCTTCTATAATGAATGGCGTGAATTTTGTGGGTCGCATTCGTTGCTTTCGTGCGGGGTTCTCGTTAAACTGGATATTGTGTGCGGAGGAACGTGGAAGTTATTCCCAAGCCGTTCGCTTTTACAGTTGATAATGATGTGTCATGGGTAGTTATTTCACTGACGTTGATGCCCTATGCATGCTGTTTTTATGCATAGTTATCCACCGCGATCAACGTCATGCAAAATCATTTCTCGGCGAATCGATTCGGAGAGCTGCAGAAAACGTTTGCTCTATTCCGCCAAAACTTCGCCTACTTCACGGCTAACTTTCTGGAAAACGATGAAAAGTTCCCCTTTGAAACTAAGTATGCGTAAGTTTGTCTTCAACGCAGTGGAAAAAAAATACATCTGCAAATTCGATTTCAGAGAAGAACCCGACTGGGCGATACGTGAGAAACTGCGGTTGATCCTGGAGAAAAACTCATTCCCGCTGGTAGACGCAGATGAGACCTTGGAAGTCAGTGTTATCTTCTTTCGGAACTTGTCTCAGTTTCTCCCGTCGATGTACATCGAGCGCCAGAATAGGTTAGTCTAAGGGAAACCAGGTCAATCCAATTTGCTGGCGCGTGTCCTTGACTGCTACCTGCCAAGCGAGGCAAATGTCCAAACACAACGTCTGTGCAACAAAAAGCGAAAAAAGTTGAAATAATGCCGGAAGTTCTACCTGTGACCCTTACTTCGTCAGTGAAAGTCTGACCTACTTAACGGATTTTTTTCGGAATTAAGTATTCAAATAAAATCAGTTGTCACAAACTAATCTTGAGTTGAATCTTGTCGCAGTTTAGAGAGATATACAAGTTATCATTTAAAAATGGATTCTTCGACGATTTTTAAAGCCAGAATTTTCCACGTCTTCGCCAATTCAAAGCTGATGTTCCTCAGCATTCATGGTGGAAATATTTAATGATATTCCTCGAGTTCAGATAATGAAGCATATTTCGTCAAACGTGAATTAGCGGCCTCTTCTGAAAATATAATGTAATTTGTGAACCACGGGTGACTTGAAAGCATCTCTGAAGAAGGTTCGTATTGATATTTTGAGACACGTCGTGGCTCTGAGACCTTCAGAAAATGACCATCCAAGCAGGGTTCGAAAGGCGTCCTGGTAGATACCACAATGGTGGATCATTTTTATCGCTTAGGAGCAACTGTTTATGGGTCAAACGTGTGGAAGACGAAACAATCATCCAAACTTCTAAATGATTCGATAATCTAAAATTGTAAATCGTCCGCTTTTTTTTCAAAAATACTGCATGAAAAAGGGAAAAGTGTACTGCGCGCAGAAATCAAACACACCTTATACTGTACCACAAAATATGAAGTTGCAAGTGTATCCGATCAAGATGGAAAAAAAATTCTCGAATACTTGAAGTGGAAGCCTCTGGCCAAAAAATTATCGTTTTGCTTATTCTTCGTGAAGTGTTCAATTGGGATCAATTAGACAATATAGGATCATTCCTGAGGATACCTTGAAAGTATCCCAGCGATGAGACATCGATTATTCATGTATGACTGCAAAAATCCCAAATATTATTTAGTTCACAATGATCACGAATGATTCCAGTATTGCTTCCTGACCTTTGCAATCATCGATTACAGTACCAGCACGGAACACGAGCACAAGTTGATTTCGGAAGTCGTTAGTGTTTCCCTGCAAAAAGATGGGTCTGAGGATATCGGTCGGATCAACGGAGTGCTGATTGAGATCGAATTTCCGATGGAAGGTGAGATCCAAGCCAGTTTTCACGTGGATGCAGCGAACATGTCAGAATACGTTATATCATACTACGTGTCCCCCTGTATCTGCTCTTCGGTCAACTCAGAAAAAAGATTAACACAGTATTAGCATGCCTTCGCTCCTAAGACACGCATAAGTTCTCTAAATAATTGTCTTTAGCCGGAGAAAAGATATTTATCTAAAATCACATTTTTTGACGATGCATAATTATAATGCAGGTACTGAATCCTGATTAAAATTAAAAATTTAGCGGAAAAAGTTGACGCATCTTGAACAATCTTACTTTTAGACTATGCACGCTTTTTTCTTTGCCAAGCTCAAATTATGTGAATTCGAGGTTAATAGAATAATTTCTGTGCCATAAATGTCATATTGAACACGCAAGTTATTCTCTGTAATACTGTATATCTGGAAATGTGTATTGTATTGTTTTTTCTTTGCTGTTGTGTTACAACCAATTTCAAGGATGTTGAATCAGGTGTGGCGTAGACAGTTTCCATAAAAAGAATTGCGTGAAATTTGCGTGCGCTCTGAAAATTTGTTTAAACTTCACCGATTGGATAAATTGAAACAATTATAATTGATAGCGCAGGGATTTTTTCGATTAGAAACCTTTTTATTATTTTAAAAAATAAAGAAGAGAATTTCGTGTGAAGAACATTTTGTCCCATTTACCTATTTTGCCGAAGTAGGCCATGAATTTGCCTCATCCTCTCCAATTTTGCATGCATTTGGAACAGTTTTCTTGCCCATTCCGCTCTAATATCTCGTTATGGCGAGATGCTTTGAAGTAGTGCACCGCTGACCTTTTCTGCCCCGGTATCGGATTATCAGATGAAAGGCTGAATACGAGCCGCTGGGTTCCGTCGTGCGGCCGGGGGCGAAACCTGGGGCCGGGGCATACAATTTCCTTACGCTGGGAACCGTTCGCGTGCCCAGCAAAAATCGTGAACTCCAGCAAAATCATTTGTACTTGCAAGGAATTCGGGATATTCGCTTTGCTGATTGCACCGTCTGAAAAAAAGGTTTGTAAAAATCGGAAGTTTCTTTCAAAAGTTCTAATTTTAGACGAATACGGCCCAGCTGATCCTTCGCCCAAGTTTTATCTCTGATCTTTTTTGATTCACGCTAAATCAGTGTCGTTAATTTTTTTATGATTTGAATTTTTTTATAAATTCCAACTCCCCAGTTCCTGGTAAAAGCAGAGGCTGTATCTCAGAAATAAAACATGGTACTGTATTGCATATGTGCTCGAGAATATATTGAGAAGATGTTCTTCTCAATACAGTGTACTGTATTCCGCATTCAACTTCTCGGTTATTTAATAAAGCTCTTATTAGCTCTTGTCTCAAGCTTTTTTCTGTCTAACTAATCTATTCAAGTCCCACTTCACTTTTCTGGTACCACATGCTGAATAAACTTTTAAATTTACGCATAACTCCTTCGAATGCTACATTCAACATCTGAAGAACCCAAGTGTACCACGGAACTCTTGATAAAATACCAAGTGGCAAAGTGGCCTATGTGGTACACGAACGACGGATTGAAATCCCCACCCTTTTTTATTTAAAAAAAGGTAATTTACGAAAGTGCTTTAGTAATTGGATTTATTCTTCAATGTTTCCAACAGTTAGAGGAGAAAAGTTGGGGGCTTTATACGGAAGTAACCGTTGGATGCGTGATCGCATTGACGATCCTCATTTCAACGGCCTTCTTCGTCCTTCTTCAATGGTTCCGCTTATCTGACCCCATGGGACTCAGCAAGGGTCAAGAAGTTCTCGCTAGCATCGCAGGAACAAGCCTCATCCTCTTCAGCGCAAGAACTACTCTGCCCAGGGTTTGTTTATTGGTCCAATGGAATCCATTCGTCCTCAGCATGGATGCCTCGGGGTTTCAATTTCGAGAACCCACTAACCCGCTTTAATGCCGAATAAGAGTATTTATTCGGGTTCAATTTTATGTTTCCGCAGGCAACGTATCCTTACATCATTACAGCTCTGACCTTTTCGTTCAACCTGATCATTGCATCGCAGTTCTGTCGCCCGATTTTCGTGTACGTCGGTTACAATTTGATCCCAACGCTCAGAGGACATCGCATGAAGATCACGATCTTAAGTTGGGGTAAGTTTCAAAAATGAAGCCAGTAAATTCTGATCCCAGATTCTTAAGCTGCGTATTTCTTCGTTAAGCACCAAGTAACCGAAAACTTTCCTCTTCTGTGTGCTTGAAGCATCAGGTTTCATGAACGTCGCGTCAACGTCGGAGAAAGCTTTCGAGGTTGTTATTCTGACGCACGTTCACAGCTTCCGAGAAGCCTGACTTCGTCTCTCTAACTTAGTCCCAGAAAATTAATTACATTATTGTGGAACTCGTAACATTTCTTTCAAGAAGGAAGTCTTTGAAATGTCTTTGAAGAACCACGATTATTACCATTTTGGCCTAATACAGTATCTCGGTTCACGTTTGCTGACTCGGCTATACCCAAAAAATCTTGGATGAATTCTCATACGGAAATGCTGCACTCCATAATACAGTATTCACTTGCAGAAAACCTGAATTTCAAAAGAAAGTTCAATCCCATCCACGCATATTTCAGGGATGCATACCGTCTACTTCTGTTCTATAATGGTTTCTGTACCCATTGAAAAAATTAATATTTGAAAACTTACCAATTTATTTGAAGCTTGATTTTCAAATTTCACTCGCTTCAAATTCTGCAGTCTGCCATGGAATCTTCAAATTCTCCCTTAATTTGAGTTCTTTCGAATTCATAAATTCCTGAATATTATCACTATACAGTATAGTCATTCCAAAAACGTGAGCACGAAACGAAAATTGATTTTGCCTTAAGTTTTAAAATAAACTTGCCATTAAAATGGGAAGATGTATACAGTGTACCTCAAATCCTGTTCTACAGGTTTTTCTAAAGATACGTAGAGCGTAGAGGATGTCTTGCAAAGATGAATTCCAACAAAAAGTCTTTAAAAAATGCCGTAGCTTGTATTTTCCATAGAAGAGGAACATGTTAATTTTATCTCGAATCTTCGTTACAGGGACGGTGGTTTAATATATAAAACCTTATTATTTGCTCGTATTGCCAGGTTTACCGTGCATTTCGACTGCTGCTGCGATGGCCGCTCAAGAGATGCAAGGTTGGGACCTTGACAGCTGGTGGCTGGTGCAAGACAGCATGTTTTTCTACGGCTCGGCCATCCCATTCTTCATTGTCCTCATTCTTTACTTCTGGGTCTATTTCCTGGCCATGTCTTCAATTCGAAGACGTCTACTTGAAGCAGAACGCGATACTCCGGACGAGAAAAGTTATGCAAGACTTTTCCAACGTGCTCATCGCGAGTGAGGAATATTGTTGTCCATATTTTTCTCAGGTTTTGTTCGAAACCATATTTTTTTCGCTCCAGACACAGCCTTTTGCAGCGTTCCAGTCTAGTAGTTTGGACTACGATGATTTGGTTCATAGCCAGCGTGTACTTCGCCAATGACCCTGAGTCTGGTCCAAAAACCTATTTCCTGAGCATTGCCCTCATCATTCACGTGCGTATACGAGTAACGTGTGTCGAGTTTTGTAGAATGCGGGCGGAGTCTTCGATCCGAAGAGTTTAAGGCTTTAGTTGCGAATCCTTTTTGCTCATATCAACGCATCAAATGTATACGAAATATTATCCGTCGGGCATGTGTAGGTGCATCGCAGAGCGCGGCTTCCTTTCGATCATTTTGATTCTGACGTTCGGAAGTCATTCATCTCCTTGTCACTGGCATTATCATTCCTGACTAAGGATTATTTTCTTGCTGGTGGTAGTTATTTGATTGATAACTTTATCATGCTATTGGATCGATATCTCTAAATCAACACCCGCTACAGGTACTGTATCATGCATGCATAGTAGTACATATAAATACATAGTAGTGTATTTTCTTCATACATTTTTTGGAAAGAAAAACTTACAGCAGATCGCCGAGGAACTTGAACGTGCGAAGACTTCAACCTTTCTTTGTGTTATTTGCATTTCTAATTTTGATGGTACCGCAGTTTCTCGAACTTTCTTTGAGATTTCTTGAAGTGATGAACAAAAAATAACCAGCATTCCGAAAATTTGCAGGCATTGGCCAATTGGATCTTCTATATTGCAAAAAGCGAGTACAGAAGGCCACTCTGGAGAACCATTTTGTATGTCCAAGAATTTTTTGGTGATCCTGACGTTTGTGAGTTGCGATATTTGGAATTATTATTTTTCGAGTGCTCATGTACTCGTATATTATCCGCAGATGCAAAAGTCATGGATGGAGATGACGAAAAGAGTATTGAGGGCGGAAAGGATCACAATCCGGAAAAGGTTGATTTTTCTCACCAATCTTAATTCGTAGAAAGGATTCCTAAATATAGAACAACACTGTTCTAATAACGTGTATTCGAATGAACAGAGAAACAAGCTCATGCAGGAAATATTTTTTGGAACCATCTAGAACTCTAAATCACTTCATTTACTGGTGTTATCGTTGCTCGAAACACCAAGATCCCAATTCCTTTTTTCGTGATTTTCTCATGAATAAATAATACAGCATGTAATTTTTTCTAGAAGAAAGAAGTTAAGCGGACCGTTATTTATAAATGTAAAATGGATTTTTCCTGAATATCTTTAATCTTCAATACATACATTTTTTGCATCATGATCATCGCTCGATACTGAGTAATAAAAAGACTGATTTTTTTTGTTTCAAAACTCAATTTTTCTTTAAAAAGTGCCGGAGTTCAGACAAGAGCAAAACATCGTCATCCGCCAGCTCGTCCAAGACTAAACGGAGCAGTCTGGATACCTTGCCGATGGATGATCGCCTCAATGGCAAAATCGAGCATGCTTCCCGACCTTATAATGATGGCTTCCTATCGTCATCTCTCGTAGACCAAATAGACGTGCATCCTTGAGGGTTTTCCTGGGTTATTTTTGAGGAGAAGGGGAAGGATTTGACGGCGCTCCTTCTATGATTGACGAAACCCCGTATGCCGTCGCTTTTGCCGTCCGCAACTCCTGGGCACCTTTGGTGAATCATACCTTGATGTTTCATGTTTTATTTTCATGCTTGGAACTGGGAAAAAGGAAGCTTTTTATGAAGCCGTGTATTTTCTCACGAATTTCTGATCGCAGAGGCTTCTAAACTCGAGGCGTTTTTCAAGCGGGTCCAAAATGGCATAATCCAGAACACGTTAAATCATCAAAGCGAAGGGTTGAGGTGTTATGACAGTCTCACCAGAGAGTTCGGTCGATTAAAAAATGAGTTTTCGTTAATGAGTTAAATCCAGATGTTAAGATTAATGTTCTCTCACTTCAACGAACGGAGAAGTGAATTGTAAACTTTGAAAATCACTGAAATGCCAAATATTGTGGCTCATTGCAACTATTCTATTTTCAATTAGGAGGGTTATAATTTCGTCTTCATGTGCTGTGCCGGATATCGATTATACGAAAAATATAAATTCCCTTTGCAGGTTAGATGATTTAAGCAGATATTAAATGTAATAGCTGTGTTTATACGGTATAGCGAAAGGAATCTTCGAAAAATGTTTTATTTTTTTACAAATGAAGAAAATTACGCGAAAGCGTTGTTCCATTCACATGTTTGTACACAAGTACTGTATTACTTCTTTGAAACCTTTCGAGTTCGAGGCGTGAAACGTCCACGTAATATTTCAATGAAACGATGTAGAACATTTTCAAGAAAAATACCATATAATCCCAAGGAAAATGTTAAATGTGGACCTTCAGTTTTCAGAAAATGCTTCAACAATAATATAAAATACACGAGGAAACCACGTGGAAAAGTCCACAAAAAGTATATTTTGAGAGTACACACAGTCTTTTCGAAGCACCATTTTCTTTTCACCACGCATTTGTCAGTGTCTTCAGAAGCATCCATTAGAAATAAATTAGGTTTTTGCAACTCTGTGATAGCGAACAAATCGTATCACGGTTTTATTATTTTTTCAATCGTAGAAGAATGATGCTTGGTCATCCGGCCTGGAGCACACGAAGAACTTGGAGCAAAAAATTGACATCTGACCTGAGGATTAAAAAAAAAATAATCACAATAATTAAAAATTCCAGCAGGATTCTTCCAAGAGAAAATATCGCAGTACTTGTCAGTTTATTCTTAAGCTCGTAGTCCCTGTAGCCGGCCCTCGGGAGGTAAATGAAGATGAAATACACTGGGAGCCCTGTGAGCATGATGGCTACGCCGACACCCACTTCCCAGGGGCTCGAATATATCGGCATGATGGTCAGCATCACGCAAACGATAAAGAACACGATCGGGAACACCAAGTGCACCTTCAAAGAAGCAAAAAAGGAGGAATTAGGTCAGAAACAGTATATTCCGGGCAAAACCTCATCGAGTTCCTCGCCTTTATCGGCCGATACAAGTCTGGCTTTTTCCACCGCAAATACAGCAGAGCACCGATGGACAGAGCTCGAAAAAGGCTCTCCACGAAGCTCATGTAAGTTATGAGCACATACAGGTCAGTGACGAATAGCATGACGATCGTCACAGCGCACTGTATCACGAAGAAATGAGCATCATCAATGAAAACACGCTTCGAAATTTAGATCGTTTGAAAAACGAAAGTTCATTCGTTATTTTAAACAATACAGAACGGTATGAATTCGGTGCACCGTGAAAATTTCAAGCTTCAAGTATAATAATAAAAAATATGAGCACTTTGACGGCATCCGGAAAATATTGCAACAGTACACTTCGCGAAGAAAATGAACGGGATGGACGTTCAGAAAAATCCATTCATCGCCCAGATTTAATTTTTATTTTTTCACAAATTGCCGGAAAGAGCATAATGCACTTATTTAGCGCATTAACGCGATTGCAGGCTGCATGCTGGTTTTAAGCGAAAATTCAAGAGGTGCTAATACAAAGTGCAACCCCAAAAATATCAATTTTTGTTTAGAGAGTTGGCCTATATCAGTTATTCTATTGTATGCCACATAATCCGAATTCTAGGCCGAATCGCAATCTCACATACGGTACCTGAGATATACCTTTTATATGCAGTACCTACTTGGCCGCTTTTTTGAGACTGGTTTGGGGCCCATTTTGAAATATGCGAAGTAATACTAGACCACAAAAGAGGACTCGGAAAAGTTCTATACTTTAGTACTGAATATAACCCACACGAATTTTCGGTGGCACATTTAAAGAAAAATTAAGGCCTAAAATCGTTCTTAAATGACATTTTGTGCGCAGTTGTTCATGAATACTGACCAAGAACACGAGAGACGGAACCGGGGTGAAGTTGTGAATATTGATCAAAGCCAATGCCTCGGGCAGATGCCCTTCTCGTGCCCCGACGAAGAACAGGCGCGACGTGACGAGTATTCCTCCGTTTAGTGACCCGAATGTAGAACATGCGACGAAAATTGGCATGAGCCAAGCAAGATGACCCAGCGTCCTGTCAGCAAATGTCTGCAGAAAATGAAAAGGAAAGATCGCTAGTGAGCCCTTACTGGTTCGCTAAGACGCATTAGGATTTTCGATTAATCAATGGATTACAGTACTTGAATTACAATGGAGTTTCACCAAGGATTGTGTAAGAACATCTATTATCAAATTTGTGAGGAAGAATAACATAAGTATTTAAAATTTCATCATGAACGCATAAAAATGGGAAAGTTGCCCTTTAATTAAATTACATTTAAGTGAATAAACGATTTGAAATCGTCATAGTCAGTAGGTGTGAATTTATAGTGTTCATTATTAACGTGAAAATACATTCGACAATCAAGGCGTAAACCTCTCGATTTGTTTTTGTTTTTCGTCCAAACCTGCAAGAAAGATTAAGGTTTGTTTATTTATTAGTGGAATGATGGCACTTCAATCATTTAAAGTTGTACCATCAAGTTTCGAAGGTGCTCGATTTTTCCGAACAAGAATTGTCAATCATCTTCTTCAAGTTTAAATCCTGTTACATCTTGACGCAAGTTATTAGTGCAAACTACTAGCTTTGAAAATGCAACTTGATCGTACAATTTAAGTCGGTAGGGATTTAATTATATTTTTTTATAAAAATATACGTACACACCGGGTTACGTAAAATATTAAGCTGGATTTCCCAATGTGCCCTGCTAAAAACTCCTTTAGTTTGCGTGAGAAAGAAGGCATGGTTGATGAATGATGAGGAAAACTCACGACAGCTACTGCACCGGACTCTAGAATTTCCTCTTTTGACAGGACGGCGAAATATGACATGTTCGCCAGCACGTAAACCGCCGTCACGACAGGAAGTGAGATCCAAATTGCTCGCGGCAAATTTCTGAAACCCGCGGAATTTTCAACCGCGGGATTCGAAAGCCTCGCGCCGCAAGTATACTCACACGAACGGGTTCTTGACCTCTTCGACGATGAAGTTGAGGAAATTCCTTCAGTAAAAACGATTCGAGTTTTTCAGATTCAGGGTAATCAACAATAAATACCGAAAGTTTTCGAAAAAGTATCAAATATCCGTCAAGAGCACATCATTATTCGTTATTCTATCGTATTTTAATTCAATTGGTGAAACTGTATACAATAAAGCCTATTCTAAAACGTCAGCCCAATCAAGCAAAAATTTCATCAGAGGAGAGGACGAGGGACGGTTGAATAACTTAAAGAAACTACATTTTTACTTTCAGATTTCTCAACTCATCATAAAGACAGCGAAAAATTTGAATCGGACTGATCTTATTAAGCACCTAGTAATTTTTCAATTGAATCGTACCTCGTTTAATAGATTAATATTTGTGTTTCTCGTGATGCGTGTCAAACATAAGATGTATGTACACTATAATAGTCGTACCATCCAGCATATGAGAACATCCCGGCGTAGAAAGCTATAGATATGCTGCCCGGGTCCCAGTTGGTGTCTTTGAAGAGGGCTCTTGGTCCTTCCCTGGTGATGAGATGATTTGAAGGCGCCCCGAACATCGCCCAAAGCCCTGCACCGGTGATTATGAGCAATGCTGCCACTTTCGTGCCTGTAAACACGTCCTGGATTCGTGTGGCCCATCGTACGTTGTGGCAGTTGATGTACGTTAAGAGCCCTGTCATTCCAATGGAATCATTAACCTAAATTCTAATGTGCGTGTTATGCCATTATAATCTCCGATAAAACATTGCCTTGGCGTATTTACTTGTGTAATACTGGGCGCCCTTCAAGCAATTCGGCTGACAATATTTAGAGTGTGTGCTTAATTCCCACGCCGAAGGCTTTTTTAGGGGTGATCAAAGGACGATAAACCCCACTACAGTATTTCTTCGAGCCTCTCGCCATCACCGAGGATAAAAATAAGTGCATGGTCTATGATTTAGCAGAAAATTGAAAATTCAATTCTTGAAGCATCAGGCAATTTTTTCGCCTTATTAATTTATAATAATTAAGATTTTTAATGAAACATTGCACTTTGAGAAAGATTACATTCTATTCGATGATACACGGTATTTTACAGTAATCCGAGGAAATTTTCTCGGTATCCTCAGCAAAATTGATATCCTGGAATATTGAGAAAACGGCTGCGTCAGAGAGTCGCAAGCAAAATTTTGAAAAAGATTTGGGTACGTATCAGAATTTACTTCCAAGTCCTATATTCCATGAGAGCTGGAATTGTGAATACTGTTTCTCAAGTACAGTGCTACGGTGAGAACAATCTCAATGCATGGAATCCCTCAACCGCAGGAACAGTGAAGGGTGCTATCCAACCCCATTTTTAAAAGAAAATATCTTGCAGTTATCACCACTGGAGCAGCAGCTGTATAGAAGGACTAATTACTGATACTTTGGAATAATTTCGCGATACCTATTGCTCGTTTTAACAGTCAATTGGCTCATTCGTGATGGAATCTCTGCCGTTGGTGCCGGAAATTGCCCGCATTTGACGCGATAACAATTCATACGTTTTCATGATAATCTGAGATAAATTACTCTTCCAGTAGCAATATCCAGGTTCGGAAAGAGGCATGTTTGAACGGAACAACATACCAATGACTGCGGCGGCGAGGAGCTGAACGGCCAAATGCGGTGGTTCACAGCTTGGAAAGACTGCTTGAAGAACGTAAGTGGCGAACGTTAAGGCTATTATGGCGTTGGCCGATGGGCAAAGTACGAGCAACGCAACCCAGAGGAACAGGAATGCTGGCAATGGTCCGAATCCAGCCCAGAGGTACGCGTAATCACCCCCGGATTTAGGAATGGCAGTTCCTGCTTTCGTAAAAGGCCTTTGAGCATTGGGTTGAAACTGAAAAATACTCTGGTATGTACAAGTACAGTGCAGCCTACTCTTCAAAAATTGGTCCTAGCATTCCACTTGCCATAAATAGCGTGATCCGTCGCATAATGCGTAACGTAACTGCGTAGTGCGTACTGCTCGTGCGTATACAGTATTAGAAACATGCTCCAATCTCATAAAACAAATAGGAAAAAACCGTGCTTGGATTTTGTACTACTTATCCTGCTCATTACTCGGGATTAATTTTATTTGAAGTATCGTTCTCTGTAATTTCAAGACGTAATAATTATTTTTTGCGAAAAATCCACGAACTTTCTCCGAAGGAGAAAAATGGATTTGAAGTGAACAGCATGTTTTCGTCAGGTTGAGAGCGACATCTAGCCCGATGTAGGCTTTCGATTTTAGAAAAATGCGTCGTAAATATGAAGGTGTACATAAAATAGACACTTCCGAATGTTTTCAGATGGGCCAGATTTATAGTTACACTCATTGTTGATATAGCATTGAACAACTTTGCATGTGAAAGTGTTTCCATGAAAACAGCTCTTCGTGTTAGGAAACCTCGACAACTTCAGAGGTGCGCAATGAGCGCGGTGATCATGAATTTTCATCGTATTACCGCATATCAGAATCGAGTATCGACCCATTGTTTCACAGATGGATACGAGACTGACGAAAATTTCTTTAAAAATACTGTACACCGATTTACTCAGTAAAATAAAACTCCGAATATGAGATGTCTTGGTTAATCAACATTACGGATAATCGAACTGTACGTCTTTTTTTTAGCATTTCTTCACATGATCAATGAAATTTGAAATTATTGAATGCTATTGCCGTAGGGGCATACTAATGTATAGCAAGAAATTTTCTACTGGAATAGGTTGTTTTGAGATGAAGTCAGTTTATGGAAGAATTCCGTGAATGATTTCTTCGGCAGAAAACTAAGCTTTCGGCCTGAATACTGATTAATAGTGAACCAATATGTTCGTTACTCAAGTTAAGATAATTTCAGAAAACGATGACGAAGTCTTCGGGCAAAAATGTCACAGTTCAGGTGGTACTTGGCCAAATGGCACAAGAAGGAGTATGTGAAATCTGGCTTTCCTCAAGAGCGGTGAAAGCCGCAAAAAGGTTGAAAAGTCCCGGGTTACATGCCTAATTCAGCGTAACAGAGAGCGCCAATCATGGAGAAAACCCCGCTGGCGATCCAGATGATGAGCGACATCCCGACAGAGCCAGAGGCGATGAGCACGCCTTTGGGTGACACAAAGATCCCAGATCCAATAATGATGCCTACAATCATAGCAACGCTATCCAGGAGTCCGATCTGTTCCTTGAGCGTAACTCGAGCCGCGGCCGCCGCGGCGGCAGCTCGCACCGACGACGACCGCCGCACAGAGTCCTGGTGAATCGTGGCTCGTCGCAAATGGTGTCCGCGACACGTGGGTGATGCCCTGTCGCGACCACCAGCGAAACCACTCGCACGTCGATGGTACCGATCTCCATGGCTGTGGCGCCGTCCCAACTCCAAGATTGCTGGCGACGAGGACGTGGACGACACGCCACGCCTCGGCCCCAGCCCCAGTTCCATTTCCGTGTCGTCTACTGCGAGCCCTGTCACCAACTTCCGCACATTTCCGACAGCCGATGAGCTTTGCTTTCACATGTCAGAGAGTAAGAAACGCGGTTCGGAAAACACATCCCCGCGGCAACTTTCCGGTGACACCTAATGCTCTCCGCTCACAACCGGTGTACAAGTTGGCCAAGTTATCCTCGAGACAACAAACCGACGAGCAGAAGCACCGTGATAAATGCATCAGTAGGTAAAATCTGAACGACTTTGCTGGGCTTGAACCCGAATACCAGTTTTGTTTTTAATTATATGGGAATTTACCCCTGAAGCAGGTTGTGGTCCAGATCCGGGAATACGGCCTATAATTGCATTATTACTAAAATGGCTGTTTCCACGAATTTTTTAAAAATCAGATAGCTTATCTTCACACCAACTCAATATCCAACTTCATCTCGTTGCTTTTCGAAGTCCTATATATCTAGAACTCTTGAATACCGACGGCCACAAAATAATATTTTAACCTCATTCGTCCGTCATATAAGCAAGAGATTCTTGGGGTACTTGAGAATCTGAGGAAAGATCCTCTCGAATAAATTTGGAGATTAATGGTTTGAGAAGCCTCTTCATTTTTCAAAAAATCTCTTCAATTTTAGCCCTGACGTAGATAATTGTTGCTAACAAGTTGACGTTTCAAGGCAATCTCATTTTCACCTTCACCAAAGCTGCATTTTAAAAAATCTAAAAATTGTTTTAAATGACACATTATTATTAGCATTATCCCTGAGTTTATTTTTAATTTTTGTGTTTTAAAGTTTATATGCTTATTCTAAATTTGTGGATTACAGTATAATTTATAACCATATTTAGAATACAGAAAACTTAAAATAAATGGGCGAAAGTAGAAATACCAGGCATGAAAAATTGAAGCTCTTGATAAACATGGACCATTGATGTCCACATCTCATCTCCAACGCTGGGACATTTTTGACGAACAAAACATGCAATTAATCTCTAATACGTTTTACTGCCGAAATTTCCCTGGAGAAATCTGAGCATACCTGAAAAGACCATCAGCATCAGTCAGAGATTTTCAATCTCCAATACTTGATCGCATGAGCGACTGAACTCTGAATAAAGCTGTGATACATTGTTGAGTTATTACATTGTATTAAAAAAGGCCTCCAATTCTAAATAAGGTTTCCTAAAATCGACGACCTCGGGGAACACGTGGAAAATTTCGAAAAAGAATCGTCTATTGTGCAGCTTTGGTTGAAGAACGCCGAGACGCGGTCTCGAACTTGAACAGCATCGAACACCGTTCGGCGAATTTCCTCGTATTTCCGAAACGGGTTTTTCGATCACAGCACACAATTCTCACCGAAAGCGTATCGGAAATGGAAAACGATTTCGTTTCAAAAAGTGCGCTGTCAGCAGCAGGAGCGGTTCCTCGGCAAACAGCGTTTCGGAAAGAACTGCAAACGAACGGGACTTGAAACGCTCTCGACAGCCCCCGACGGCGTGAGTTGACTTCCACTGCGGTCGACGTCGTTTCCATTCTAATTCAACAGAGAGAAAAATTTGGGAAAAGGAAGATGCATACATGGAAGCAGACACATTACGCACTCGTAGGTATTAACCGCAGCCTGGATGATCCCACATCGTCGGCATCCTAGGGGCTGGAAGGAAGTCGATATTTCCTTTCCTTTCTTTCATCGTGTGTTGGAACTGGGGATGCATGAATTGAAAATAACTTGCGCCTTTAGTAAGGCTGAGTGAGGTTCATAAGGGTTCACTCCACAAGCGTGCAAGTATTTCTTTGGCGGAAATCAGCTTCAGCACAGGCGATGAACCTCTTCCGGGTACAGTACGTTTGTACGCTGTGTGAGAATCTCAATTCTCACGGCCGCCCGCATCCTCAATGAGCAGCTGCATTTGACAACCATGAAAGAAGAGCCAATAAACAAGACAGTAGATCCTCCTTGAAAATAACGTATTTCCCCCTGACTTCTTAGTGATCAGTGCTGATAAAAAATGTTGATGAACCACAACAGAGCTTGAGAATATCCACATCCGCCCATTTTAAATAGTCGATCATTCATAACTAGAAAAAATTTTATAGTCCATTGGGTCATATATTTTTGTTGGTCGTGTTCTATGAGGGCGATTACATCATTTTTCGAAGGGATTATTCTCCGACTACATGACAGAAGTCAGAGATTTTTACCTGTTGAATAGATCTCCCTGCACTAATTTCCCAGGCGGTGTCCGACCACATTCCGAAGGGCGTCGAACCTTGAATTTAATTCGATGTCTAATTTAACTCCATCTTCAATTCAATTGTATGTCTGATGGGAATGGGAAATTTTCATTAAATTGCAGCATTTGAAATTCAAAAAGGAAGACGCTGCCCTTCATAAGAAGCATACATTGGGGGGGGGGGGAATACCACGATTCTTCCTATTCCTGTGAAGAGAAAAAGGCGCCCATGTTTTATTTTCATTTAGTTTTAAAATTGCATTTTCGTCTTTAAAAAGCTCGGCTGTGATCTTCGCCGTAAAGTTTGCATGGATTATTCCTGCGGAGTTTGACGTACGTGATCGAAAAATCTTATTCCCAAATGAGCGCTTCTTACCTTGCTTGAATTGTTGAAGGGGCGCTGAGTACTCAACACGTCATGCATCCCCGAGATGTCCTGTTTTTTTCGTCAAAAGCTGAAAAAGTAGGTCCGAGACACGGTTCATTATTCCTGGAAAGGCAAAAAAAAAGGAGCCAGGAAAGCCCTTCGCCGTCACAACCGGTGGCGAAGGGTGCTTTTGACACGCCATACAGTCTCTAACAAGATTGCCGAGGGAAGCACGTGCAGATTCCAGGAAAAGAAAAGTCTGCTTCTCGTCAGTCGTGGAGAAGCTCGATATGAGTTCCACCGGCACTCGGGCCGGAGCATATTGGATCCGGCGAAGAAGCTCAAGCGGGGTTCGAGAAGAGACGGAAATGGGAAGCCCTCGCGAGACCCCCGAACCCGGCGATTGAATTTTTAGACATGGAAATGTGGGACAGGTCGTGTCAAAGTGTGTCGGCGGTGGATGACGAATCGCACAAAGGCGCGGGGCCTGGTGCTTTTCCACTCCGCACCCGAGCGAGATCGGCGCTTGCACAATCAATCCTACTTGAGTGCCGATGCGGAGCCGCTGGGCCCAGCCGCGAAAGAAAACTTTGCTCCCCTAGACATCATCTTTCATTCCGTGTCACGTCACAGCGATTTGAAGGATACACTCGACTGCTGCAGAGACACGCCGCCAAGATCATCTGCTGGCTCGTCAGGGTGAAATAGTACAAGTTATGATGTCCAACTAGCCAGAACCGTCTCAAATACTACCCGTCGTCCGAAAAATTCTATATTCAAATCTAGAACCATCAACTCCTGAGCCGAGCGTCAACCGTGAGACGAGCATTGATCTATTCTATGGCATAATTTTGATGCAAGCGATCATTATTCGTTTCTTTGCCACAAAAATAAGCACAATCCGCTCGAAGTTCAGCAGACTCATGTACGCATATGCATTTTCTCCAGTCCTCCTTGGAATTTCCTTAGATCCCTTTTCGATATTTTTCTTCCATATTGTTGAAGAGAAGCAGCATTCTTCTCGATCACGTTTTTATTTCGCTCTGTCTTCCCCGACAATATCGGAGCTTAATTCAATGCGACATTTCCGAATGCCAAGGGATCCTTTTCTTGATGTCCTGTCATTGTCTGTATTCTATTGTGGCACCCTGAAGGAAATTGACTGTATAGCATATATAGAGCAAGTCAAAAATCGATCCTGCCTTTAAAATTGACAAGAAAAATGTTGTATACTGCCTTTCTGACTTGCCCGAAGAATGTGTGCGCAACCTGATCACAGGATATTAGATCTTCTGTCATTAATGGAAATAGGAGACCACGAAGGAATTAATTTGTTTTCCCATTTTCTAAAATTTCCCAATATTGTTCTCTAGCAGGATTCTTATGACATTTTTTTCAGGGACAAGGTATCGAAGGACATTTAATGGAGATACAGTGATGAATGTATTATCCATCGGTATCCTAGGATAAAAATATATTCATTTTAATATTTCATTCAAGCAATCTGAATCCAATTTTTGCTTACTTTCAAGTTTTATCCCCATATGCATAATGAGGGACAAGTTGTCTAGTCTGTATGTTTAGGTTGGAAGGAAGAAGTTTAGAGAGCTGGACTCAGAATCCCTTATAGTGGTTGATAAAAATACCAACAAATAAGTGGCGGACGAGTTACTGTCTCAACTTGGGATATGGGGGGTTTTTTCAGGGTAACCAATGATAAATTTTAATGTGGGAGTAAAATCGAAAACTATCCGAATTTCCAAGTCTTGCCCTTTCAGCCGTCGGGTGCGGGTTGATTATTTTGTTATTTTATGCATGGGCGGGTACAAGTAAAAGTCGCGCAATTTCCTGAATTTTTAAAATACCAATCGAATCTCGAAGTTCTTCCCTTGAAAAAATTAATTCAAGCTGCTGCTGAATTTACGAGAGATTGCAAGACCGGTTGCAGCGATGAGGTACGACGTCCTGAATCTTGTTTTGAAGTCGAGCCTTTAGCCAGCACCCGGCTGCTGGATTCAAAGCCGCAGGCATGCACGTCAACGACACCAATGCGTTGGTCTATGTCATGACTGAGAAATGCGTGAATCTTGCATGAGTGCCGCATTCAAGGATACTCTGCGGCATGAGGGTCCTTGAATTCACCCCTGCAGTGCGTCGACCTCACAGCTCGACTTGCGCCTTCCCGACCTGCAACGTCAATTAAAAACCAATTCACCAGAATGAAAGTGTTATTCGGGAGCCAACAGTTACCGAAACATTTTTTGAATCCCATCTGCTGCTGGCCGACGTCTTTCTGGTCAAGTGAATTGCATTGAATGATGCTGAGGTGTATACGAGATCCGGGGATCCAAAGCCTCATCGACTTCGGCTCGCGGAAGCAGTATCTCATCTGACATAGGATCCATTTTTGAAAAATGACTTATAAGAAGAATTTTATGTAGGCTTATCGTTTGAAACTAGAACTATACACACAACTTCTGGAAAAGGGGTGATTTTGTTTGGCAGTGCCATTTTCGCCAAATCGGCAAGCATGCATGATAAAAATCGGATTTCCATTGCAGTCCCGTCATCTAGAATTCTAGATCAGGAAAGCTTTCGAATACCATCACTATTAAAACCCAAATTGAGTGCATTAAATTTACTTTGAATACCGCCAGTCTTACTGATATTCAGAGGGATTTTATCTACTTTATTTTTCCTTTTGTCGTTTCTCGATAAGGCCGTCGTTTTTTCTTCTTTTACATGACAGAGAGCAGTATCATTGAAGGCGATTGGAACATTTTTATGAGAATTGCGTTTTGCTTTTAATCAGCCCATTTCGATTTCTCGGGAATAATTCCTCCGAAAAATCATTACTGTATTGGCTTTTTTCACCTATTGAGTTAAAAACAGGCGGATGTCCTACCTCATTTTTGGGGGCCATATTTTCTGAGTATATGAAGTATCCTTAATATGTAGAAGAATCAGGGAATTATACTGCTGATTTTTATTAGTTCCGTTTATTATCGAACTTCATATTTTTCTTGATTGGTCGCGGAACTATCAGGTGGGTCCTGGCGGAAGCATATTGGCTCCGCGGAGCACTGACAAATAGCCTCTGCTTAATTTCCAGCCATATTTCCTGACCTAACGCCAAGCCACGGACGAGGATTTTGATGGGTAATTTCAATCGCAGTAGAAGATTCATCTTTTTCAGCACTTACCTGGCAAGAATGTCACACAGGAACATGTGTAGGAGATTCCCCGTCATCCCCGAAACATTGCCTGGTGATGATGGATTCGCTTCCTTGGGGATCACGAAAGAGCGCAAGACTCGTTTTCCCGAATCCTCGGAGTCGATGATAGGTGTCGCTGCTAGAACGGCGGGGAAGAGGATCTCCTCTTGTTGATCTCAGCAGCGCATTTTTCTGCTTCACATCCTAGAGCTCTACATTTTCAACGCAGAACTTTGAATCTGAGGTAAACTTGAGAAAGAGTTTGTTGAGCATATGCCATGAAACTTTAGGCAGCATCACAAGATGAACTTCGTGATTAAAAGCAAAGGCAGTAGATGAAAGGTGATCAAACATGGTGCATGCTGGGCAAATTCCATGGTGTATAGACGTGCATATATAGGATGGGTTAATAGGCCTCCACTTCTATCTTCACGAGTTCGCAGGCCGGAAAGTAGTTATATCCTTCAAATTGCAAAGCAGAACTTAGCGAGACGCATCCAAGCTACTAATTGGTTTTTCCCTGAATTACGCGCGATGAAAAGTTGTATATTCTAAAGTATTTTCAAACACTTGTTTTGTAAGTAGTATCGCAAACCACAGACTTGCGTTCGTTTGACTCCTAGAATATAATCCTACCGAGCAAACATTTATAGCAGGATCCTGAATCGATTGAAATCGCTTCAAAATTCCGAGAACGTACCATTTTTTGCCATTTTT